AAGGATGTTAAACGCAGTGAAGCAGCTGGATACTTCCGGACTCTACACTTACTGCTCTTAACAAGCATTCTGTGCATTACTTCAGTTGTAAAGCACAAAATTAACATTTCTCTTCCCATCGTCATTCCATGCTTACAACTGCTTCTACATACCTATTAGAGCAAAAATCCCCCCACTACTCAAAAAAAAAAAACAACTCTGAAGAAAAATAAGATATACGCAGGCTTCCCCCACCAGGTCTCTCTCAGGAAGGTCCACATATTCCAGCAGCCTATCTCACGATTTCCCACTTACACTAGTGGCCAAAATTGTAGAAACCTTTTGGGAAAAGTGTATTTCTGAGGTTTGGTGGCTCATAAAACCAGTTTTTTTGGAGTAATACCATAAAACTATATATCAGTGGAAAGATAATTTAATGAAGAATCAGGTAGGTAGCTGTGTTGGTCTGACACAGTCGAAATAAATAAAAAATTGTCCAGTAGCACCTTAGAGACCAGCAAAGTTTGTTCTGGGTATAAGCTTTCATGCATATGCACACTTCTTCAGATACATCTTATACCAGCTGCTGGGTGACCTTGGGCTAGTCACACTTCTCTGAAGTCTCTCAGCCTCACTCACCTCACAGAGTGTTTGTTGTGGGGGAGGAAAGGAAAGGAGATTGTTAGCCGCTTTGAGATTCCTTAGGGCAGTGATAAAGTGGGATATCAAATCCAAACTACTACTCCTCCTCCTCCTCTTCTTCTTCTTCTTCTTCTTCTTCTTCTTCTTCTTCTTCATGTAATGTAACTTGCACACACATGGGTTATGTCAGTTGAGCTAGGGTAAGGGACTTACCTATTGATTAATCAAGGTGTGCCTGAGATATGCTGAACCCAAAAGCTCCCATCCTACCAGGGCTTGGGTTTGGACTGTGCTGTCGAAGCAATCCTTTTCGTGAAATGTGTCTGCTGTTTTAATTCAGGGGGCATGTGATCCAGCTCTCAGACATCTGGGAAACACTAAACGTCATCCCTTTCTCTTTCATAAAGAGCACATGCACTCCCTTAACCTAAGCAAAATGGCTGCTGTCAACTGCCGTTAAGGAAAAACTGTGAGTCAGCTACTCTTTTTAGTCTGCCGCTCTCTTCAGTCTGTTCCATTTTTAGTAGCGTCTCTGTGTTTTCCGCACATTCACTACAAAAGGTTGCTCTATTGTTTATGGAAATGGAAGCGGGTGCACTCAGAGTGAATTACTCATAAGGAAGAGCAGCTATTGGCAAGGTCACCTTTATGCCTCATAACTCTCAAGTACATCTCTGAGTTTCAGAGATGAAAAGCATTAAAATGTATATCTATAAGCTCTGTTTTACCAAACACTCCTGCATAGTATGGATCTGTGGAGTTTTAAAGCCTTAAGGCAGGAGGGAAAGCACCTTACATAACCTTCCTAGATAACCTCACATTATACTCCATGAGTCAAATCCAGCAAAAAGTAATAAATCTCCCTGCCTCCATCCCATAAGATCTGTAGCTGCAGGAGGACTGGAACTGTAGGCTGTTGATTTCAGGTTTTGGGGATGCTTGGAACTGAAATAGAGTATGAAACAGACATGATAAGAGTAAAATGCAGCTGGAATTCCAGAAGTTTTTATTTTAGAACTTAAAACTGCCCAAAGAAACTTGATTGGATCAGCAGCTAGAGGAGGGGGGCACCTTTTCCCTGCACTGCTTTTTCATCAAAATGCTACCCACTACTAGAAAAATAATAATAAAGCCGTGATACAGGCACAGTGTGGGGCTAATAATTGTTTAAAGCAGACCAGTAGAGCAGGCATCACCTCCCTCAGCACCACTACTCCAACCGAAACCAGAAACTCCCTCACATTAATATATCTTTAAAAGTGTGGAGAGATCCTGTCATGTATCTTATATTTTATGTCTGTTTCAGAGCTGTGCTCAGACCAGAGAAGCCATATTGTTACTGGACTACAACTCCCATCATCCCTGACTATTGACCATGCTGGTTGAGGCTAATGGGAGATGTAGTCTAGCAAGGTCTTCAAGGCCACTGGTTCCCCGTTTGTGTCACAATCTAAATTACCCTGCCTTTATTACAAGTCTAGAAAGGAAATGTCTCCTTTCTGTCCCAGCATCCCACTCCCACCTTTTCCCTTGTGGATGCTGCAATGCTGTCATATCTCCGTTTTGAGACTAGGGGGATGGCACTGGTTACTTCAGGAAGAATCTCCAAATCCCTGTAGCTTTCGAGTTGTTTCAAATCCTGAATTTGACTGCTTTTGCAGAAAGAAACACTTCTGTGTATTCACAAGGTATTGACAATTGTGCTATTGTATAGCTTATATTCTCACATCCTGCTCCTTGTCTACCTGAACATCTCCTGTCATTGTTACCAACACCCACTCTGCATTCAGCACTCTTATTGATCCAGGCAAAAGTCTCAGTCAGTCGTTGCAAAGCGATATTGCTGAATTTTAACAGTTTTAGAAATGGCATGCTGCTTCCTCGTTTGAATTCCAGCCATGCTCTCATTTCAGGCAAGCAGAAAACGATGCACAAGCAAATAACTGTCTAGCACCTTTCCCTTGGGTGCACAGCCATGGAAAGCATCTAAAATTACTTGTCAACTGACAAGACACGCAAGCCTGTTTCATTCGCATCTTGAACCAAGCAGGACTACTTTGCTTTACAGTATCAGCCCAGTAAAGCAAATATATTCTAGAGAGCAATATTTGTGGAGTCCTGTAAAATATATAGTATAGTAATTGGACATATTCTGTGAATGTAGGGTTCCATGGTGTTGTGAGAAGATGAAGGGCAGCCATTTTGGAAAATGGCCTCCATAGACTTCCCTCAACATGTTCAGGATGTCTACTTATGTTTATATTGTATCAAACCAGGGGTTTTGCCTCATGTAGGTCAGCCATAAAATTCCTACATTGGTTTATTCCAGAGATAGGATTAATAATAACCTAAGAATTACAGCTATGTTTCATTTTAAAAGCCACTCCTAAAGTCATTTAAAGGCCTGCTGAAATAAAAGTGTAATGAGAGATCTGGTCAAATGAACTTCTCAAACAGGCTCAGGCATGGAAATGCATGACCTGCAAGTAGAGATGAAGTAGAAAACTGATTTTGTTTCTGTTTTAATTCACGCTTCTTGAACCAATATGCAAACTGAAATACAACTATCCTTCAAAATTTACGCTTCTTTGAATTTTACAATAGTGTTCCCCAACCAAAGAATACATACAAAAATCATTGTATTAGAGGGGAAATGTGCATAAAAACATATATATTAGTGAAATATGTTAACAAAAATTGCTTGCAAAAATGTGTTCATTAGTAAATGTATAAAAAAACCTCACACTGACAAGCTGAAGAATATTCACTAGGTTTTTTGTTTCATTAAAAAAAACAAAAACAAATTTACAAATTGCTGCAGAAATGCAGAGAACTGAATTTAAGACTGGAAAATTTAGAATCTTAGAGAACCAAAACTGACAGATTCACCCATCCTTACCTTCAAGTTTTGTTCAGATCACCAAGACCTCTCCACCAAGTAACTGTCCCTCTTCTTTCATCCAAAACTATACAAGACTATGGATGAGTTGCCACTTGGTGGTAGGCTAAGGAAAAGCCTTAGCTGTGCAGATTACAGCCTGCAGTTCATATCCCATCCTTTCCCAATGAAGGTACATGACAACGCCTGAATATAAAATGACAGCTACCTGAACATTATTGCAACATTATGTATTTTTGGTTGGACCAAAGTATTGCTTTGCTTTAGCCAGTTTCTTACATATCTCTAGATTGTTGAATCTGTAGAACAGTTCTATCTTCAAATAAATGGTATCAGAAAAATATATTTTTGTATGTACGTATACCTGGAAATACAGTGGTGCCCCGCAAGACGAATGCCTCGCAAGACGGAAAAACCGCTAGACGAAAGGGTTTTCCGTTTTGAAGTTGCTTCGCAGGACGAATTCCCCTATGGGCTTGCTTCGCAAGACGAAAATACCTTACGAGTCTTGAGATTTTTTTCGCTTTCCCCCTTTATCTAATCTGCTAAGCCTTTAATAGCCTTTAATAGCCTTTTAGCAGCTAATCCCCTAAGCCTTTAAGCCTTTAATAGCCGCTAAACCGCTAATAGCGCTAATAGCGCTAATCCGTCAATGGGCTTGCTTCGCAAGACGAAAAAACCGCTAGACGAAGACTCTCGCGGAACGGATTAATTTCGTCTTGCGAGGCACCACTGTATAGCATGTTACTTTAAAACTATGGAATGAGATTCCACTTACATTTCACAAGGAAACACTCCACGATAATGGAATGTTTGCTCTGCAGAATTAAGGAGCAGGGTGTTTACAGTGGATTTGTCTTGGTTTTAGCAACTTGACCTCAGTGCTGAACTTCATCCTTGAATGTAAGTGGAGAAGTGCTGGCCAGCATAGACATTTCAGAACCAGTCACAGGGTACAGCTGAAGTATAGAAGAACAGCACCCTCTAATGGCGAATGTGATACTGTTTCGTGAGAGAAGTGTTGATTTGTTTTCAAGCTCAGTGCTAACTTGCTCACTTACCTTCTTAAGACATTTTAATTTACATTGCCTCCCCGGCAGCCAGCCTTTAGTGTCACCTGCCAACTTAGGATGACACTTCACATATCCGATGTGATGAAGTAGACTCCAATTCACCAAAGCTAAACTGAATAGCTTTAAGGTAGCCTCCTCCAAGCAGATGTCCTACATATTTTTTTTGGACTGCAAAGCTCTGGAGGGCATCAGCTTGTAAGAGGCTGCTTAGAAGTGCCAGAATGTTCTTTGTTTTGACTGCAATGGACTGTCCTCCCAAAATCATTACACAATACAGTAGCACATACATACATCTTCCAGGACTGTTTTGCATTTAAATAAATCCTGCCCATTAGATATTTCTATTAACTAATCCAAGGGTCAAAGTATTTAATTGATAAGTCTTTTCTTTAATTCATAAATGAGTTGCCATTTGCAAAATAATTCATTTCAGAGAATTTTATTATAGAGCAGGGCTAGTCTGAACAAAAAATAAGATATCGCCATCTGTCAAAAGGTTTTCTTTTGTTTCATTTCTTTTTGGAATATACCTCCAATATCAGAGTAATCTGGTGTTCCTTAAGGGGTAAATCATGCTCCAGAAATGAATTAACACATTTTAAACTATTAACTACTTTTGTTTTCATTACTGTGTATTTTGTAATAATGTTTTAAACTTCCGTTAGCTGCCTTGAATCCAAATTTGGGAGGAAGGCAGGATATAAATACGTAAAATAAAATAAATAAAACAATTAAATCTCATTCTTTGCAGGAAGAGGCCTTGGAGCCAGAGTGGAAGAGACATAGGGACTGGATTTCTATCATGAAGCCAGCAATACAAATGTCCGTTTGACAACTGCACACACAGAAATGCACAAGAAAACATACCCCACCATTTACCAGACCCCATAGCAGACTTGGAATTTGCTTTACAACATGTGAGCGAAGTGTCCTCTGGTCACTTACTCTATCCTAGCCCTCTCTTATGACCTACCATCTCAATGACCCTGCATCTGCTGTACATCTATCTTAAGACATCTCCCTGCACCTGTGTGATGTTTTCATTTCCCTCACTAGATTAGCATTCCATGACTGATTTTTTTTTAACACATGACATCACAGTGGCCCAAACCAATGGCTAGTAGAATATACCTACAAATACTCACTATGTGGACTGTAAGGCATGCTTAAGCTGAAAGGGATTCTAGACTGAAAAGGCCAAGCAGGCACTCTCTTTCCCTAGGCTGCAATTAAATAAATTAGTACTGTAACATTTGACAGTTATTAGATTGCTATTGATATTATAATTGCGACTGTGAGTTGGATAGATATTTTTAACTTAAACCAAACCCTATCATTATTGTTCTTGCTTTATTTGCCACGTCTGATAATAAAGCTGCAGAGACTATATTATTTTCTTCCTAAAATGGCATCATACAGCTTTCCAGTTTTCTTGATTTCAATCTCCCTGAAGCCAGCTGCTGTGAGGAGGCTGCTATACTCTGCAGGGGTCCGCTCTTTCCCTTCAGTCTGAACCAACATATTAATGGAATAGAGCTGGCTTTCCAAAGGTCCGCTTCTGTCTTCATTCAGAAGTGTTTCGACTAGTAAAACGCCGCCACCTGGTTGGGGAAAACAAGATTCATTTTGACACATTGTCCAGCCTCATCTTAATCCTATAAGGGGTCTATAACCTCAGCCTAAGATTTCAAGAAAAAAAGAGCACCCAGAAATGAAGATAGAGCTACGTGAAACAGAACAACAAGGATTTAGACCTGTAAGCAAAGTATGGATCTCTATACTCTTCCTATAAACCAGAGCTAGCTAATGTGGTACCCTCCAGATACTGCTGGACTGCAACTCCTATTATCCCTGACATTGACACTGATGCGAGTTAGAGTCCAAAGCCTCTTGAGGGTGCCAGGTTGGCTATCCCTGCTATCTACTATCCCTACTATTTAATGGAACATCTTCCATTAAAGTAAAATGATGTATTGTTGCTGCCATGATAAAATAACCATAGACCTTTCAAGACTGATAGAGGGAGTGACAATGGCAGACTCATCTTGTCATACATGTGACCATTGTGAATTCTATAATATGATTTGTAATTGTGCTGTTTAGCTTTTTTTAGTTGTTTTGCTAATAGTGCTTTATATAATTGTTTTACTGATGATATGTTAATTATTCTTTATGATTTGCGTGGCATTTGTGACGTTCTGTTATTGTTATTTATTGTTTGCAAGCTGCTTTGTAATTCATTTGAATGAAAAGCAACACAGAAATATAATCAATCAATCATCAATCAATGTGTAGAAAGAGATGCCAGGATATTCAGCCTGCTCTCACGACGCCACTGCCCCATGTCCATTTAGTCCTTCCGTAACTTCTGAAAGGGGAATACAACTACAGCTGCCACTAACATTTCAGCTACTTTATTTCTAATGTCAAGGAAAAGCTACAGAGACAAACTTAGGAGTTTGTGCATGCTTGGTGGGATTTTTGAATAGTTCCTCCCCCTTTTAAAAGCAGGTTCCCATAGGCTATCACAACTATTTTTGAAACCCTTCTGAGCTTCAAAAATAGTCAGGAGGCAAGAGAAATGCCTGCTTTGAGAGTGGAAAAAAGCTTATCTGTGCACATGGGACTAGCTGCTTGATGTTTTGAATCTCGGCTTTCTTTTTTAAAAAAATAGCACAAATAGAAAGGATCAGTAACAGTTGTAGAAAAACTCAAGAATGAAAGAGACAGCTGCACAAATAGATATCGTTCCCAATGTGTTTTCAAGAAGCTTCTTATCGAGGGATATCTTTAGAGCTTCTTAATAAAATCTGTTTGGGGAACATTTGCTGCTGCAGCTCACCCCTTGATAAAAAGTTTCTTTGAAGTATGTTGAGAACCAATAACTTCCACCCACCTGCACAGCGATACTTCCCGTTTCTCTTCTCTCTCTCTCTCCCCTCCAGCCTCAAACAGCTTGTAGCCCTCCGGTACATATTGAAGGGCTACAGGGAGAGGAGAGGAAGGAGAAGCCTTATTGCATGAGTGATATCTACTTGCCTAGCCTGCCACCAATTCCACCACCCCTCCTTCTGTGGTTGCAAGAATGCTAAGTGACAAGCTGATGTCACAGTTAATGGAAAGCACTGAGCACATTAAACAGTCCTAGAGAGATAAAGGCACTTGGTTTTTTGAAGTGATGGTTGCAATGTATAGCCAGGCTCTTGTACATTATTATACACTCGTGCGTACCAGTTTTGCAAGCCTTCTGCACCTTTTTGAGAAGCTGCACACATTTCTCATCTGCCCAGTCATGGAGGATCCTTGCTAAAATATACAGGTCAGCTTCTGGAATTGGGTCTGCAAAAAAATCTCCTGTATCAGGCAGAAAACAAACATTAATTTCTGATTAACCGAGAATCCAGCATGTCAAGAAAACATGGAATGGGTCCAAAGTAGCTGAGATCAGAAGAAGATTCGCTGGTGTTTATTTTCATGCTTGAGCCAGCATTAAAGTTCTCTGGAGGACGGGACGGGACGGGTTTTGTAACCGCTGATATGCACCATGTTAATAAAAGCATCTAAACTACATGTTTTCTATTTGTTGGACACCAGGCATGTGTAAAAGAAGAAACAGTAAGTCCAAGCAACACAGGCACTTTCTGTATTGGATTCCATGTGAAGATGGTCTATCCTGTAATTAATTCAGAGAATAGAAGTTCTAATATTATAATTTAACCTATTTCATTCTTGAACAGCATGGGTGGTATACAATCATCTTCATTAATTTCAATGGGTCTTCTCTGATTAAAAAGTAGGTTAATATCACCCAGAGTCTTGGGATTTTAAGAAACATTCATACAAGCAGCCAAAACATTTTTCTGGAAGAGCCAACTCTAAAAGCCATCCAGTGACTTATCTGTTAGGCAGTGAGAGCTTTTGCAGTCACACACATATATATAAGCTCTAGCTCCAGGTCACACTTGTATGGCCCTTCCGAAATGTCCAACAAATAAAATATTTCAAATGTCAGGGGGAGGAAATAGCCTTAGGGAAAAAGGCACAGTATTAAATTATGGGGCTACTTTCTACAGAGAGGGGAAAGGAATTTACAGTAAAGAGCAATGCTCTCCTCCTCATCCTAGTTTTCTCAGAAACCACCATCTTTACCTTCATGAAAAGTGATCCGCCGTTCCTCAGAGGACACAAAATGCTTCTTTGCTGTTTGTACTACTTTAGGCAGGTCGAAAATGGTGACTGAACAATTTGGATATAGTGAAACACACTCCTGGGCTAAAGCACCAGCGCCTCCTTTTTGAAGAAAAAGGTAAAAAACAAACAAACAGTAATAAGTTTAGAGGAGGAGGAGGCAGAGAAAAATAATTAACTAACTAAGTAAACAACCAACCAACCCATATTGGCACAGCACTATTTTTTTCCCTCACATCCTTTTTTGAGTATGGATGGGCCTGCCTCTGGGTTTCTTACCATTTTTGGCAGGGAATGATGCCTGCTTCATCTGAAGTGGCATAAGAGTTTCGACAGTCTTGGCCTGGACAGGACCACACCCCAAGCTAAGGTTCCCTGTTATGCACCCAGCATGAAATAAGGTCACATTTCACAAACCTCTTTGATGGCACAAGTGGTGCTGGGACTTGAAATCAGCTCTGCCACTACTAACAGGAGCCAAGACACACAAGGAAATATTTGGTTCCTCTACAGAGAAGGCCCTCACTAGCCCCACTGTGTGCTGCAAACTGAATTTCCAAATCCTATAGGTATCACTGAGGCCAACATGGTTATGTACTAGAACATGCCAACTACTATAGTAAAGTCAGGTTTGGACAGCTGCCCAGTAAGCACACTGGTACTGCTGAGTACTGGATTGCCTCAAGGTGCCATATGAGTAACTGCTTGCAATTTTTAAAATTCATGCCAGTCCATAAAATAGGCCCAGTGTATTTTTAATGCCTTCATTAAACCGGGCAGTTGTCTTAAAGTGCAAGTTTTTCCATGCAACATTTTAACATTTCTCTCTCTCTCTCTCTCTGTGTGTGTGTGTGTGTGTGTGTGTGTGTGTGTCAAAGAAAAACTACTGAAATTTATTAAATGGCACTTACCTCCAAGATCGTATATGACAGGGAACAGAGAAAGATCAAATGCAGCTATCACATCTCTGCCACATATGCTCCAAATTGCATTCAATCCATACATGAATTTTATCATTTCTTCCTCTGATCTAGAGATTTGAAATTGCACCAGCAATAAGCTTGTTGCAAATGTCCACAATGATTTACTGCTATGTAAAAGACATGAACAGCTTTTCTGCCATCCTAATTAAAAGAATTGCATATTCTTTAATACACCCATGAGATCTTTGTGCAGACGGCCCCATTCGTTTCTGTGGAAGGAGCAGCTCTGCAAACAGACACATGGATCTGCTGTTTCTATTGCACAAGCAAGGCATTCTTGCAGAAGAGCTTGTGTATTATTGTGCTCATAAAACCTCTTAAGAAACCAAGAATTGGACCATGACACGCTGGCCTCAGTTAACCATATACTATTAACCTCCAAAACAGATTACTGCTGTGTGCTCCCCCCCCCCCCAGTTTAATGACCTTCACAATAACCATCATTGCTATAAAAAACAGCGTGCACACAGAGACATTTGATCAGGGGCAATCTATTGTGTTTTAGATTAAACTATTATAGTGGAAGCCTTGCCTGTAAAGTGCTTCGAAGACATCTTTTGATGAAATGCCAAACGCTCTCTCGTATTGGTTTTTCCCCTCCCTTAAATTAAGGGGAAAAAAATCTTGATAAATTCAACAGCTAACTTTAAAATGTCATTTATATTACATAATACTGCCATACTCAAGAAGAATCCTGAACAAATGCCTAAGAATGTTTACATGATGTTGCTTATAGAGTTCACTTTTTCACAGGAGCAGTGATCCTGAAGTAAGCTAGCTTAAAAAAATAATAATCATCAAAACATTCCGTAACCTCCCATCCTTCCTGGGAACCTAAGAGACAGAAGTATGCTTATATATGCCTACATCCCTAGCTGTATCAAGAACCATAAATGCAATTTAGCGATGCCAGCAAAGACCTCTTCTGGAATACAAATTTGCCCAGCTTATCATTCTTAACAATATTGCAAATCAAGCTTCTCACCCCCTAGGTCTTCTCTGATTTGGAATGTAAAACAAGATTCTGCACACACCCCAACTATTCAGTGGCCTTGACAACCAAAGCCAGATAAGCTTTGTAGGCCCATGCATGAAGAAGAAGAAGAGGAGGAGGAGTTTGGATTTGATAGCCCACTTTATCACTACCCAAAGGAGTCTCAAAGCAGCTAACATTCTCCTTTCCCTTCCTCCCCCACAACAAACACTCTGTGAAGTGAGTGAGGCTGAGAGACTTCAGAGAAGTGTGACTAGCCCAAGGTCACCCAGCAGCTGCAGGTGGAGGAGCGGAGACACGAACCCGGTTCCCCAGATTACGAGTCTACCGCTCTTAACCACTACACCACACTGTGCCCAATGAAACTCTCACAGCTGTCTCTGAACTGTGTGAGCTAGACAATCTAACCATGCAGCCTTTTGCTTGGCACGTATAATCTGCTTTGGGTCAATTACTTTGATTTGTTCCTTGCGAAGGTTTCATGTAACTGATGTTTCTCACCCAGCTCTAAAAACCCTTTCTTTCCCCACTGAATGTATTTACACGGTTGTTGCTGTTGTTTTGGCTGGGAAAGGTGGAGGTAAATTTCAAGGCAGCTTTCTTCTCAAGCAGACATAAGATAAGGTGCCTATCTGCAGAGCACCACCAGTGAACATGTGCCAAGAGAGATCTCTTAGAAAACAGATGTGTGTGTTTTTCCAAACACATGCCGAGGAAGCTTGTAATTGCCAAGTGCATTCTTAATTGAGCCAAAGGGAATTGTTCCATCACTGGTGCACATGGGTGATACAGGATGCTTCTCTGCCAGAGCTACGCTTGATAGTTGTTTTGAATTGAAGGGAAATATGGATTTAGTTCCGCCTTCTACTCCTTCTGAAACAACTGACAGGTGTTAAGAGGGTCTCCAAAATGTCTTGAGCTAAAGTGCCTTCCCATTTTTTAATATTTATTGCTTTCTCTGGATTATGGCAAATGACCAGAACTTGAAGATAATGGAAATTTGTTGGGAAGCTTCTACAGTGATACTTTGGGTTACAGGTTACAGACTCCGCTAACCCAGAAACCCAGAAACATTACCTTGGGTTAAGAACTTTGCTTCAGGATGAGAACAGAATTGTGCTCTGGCAGCACGGCAGCAGCAGGTGGCCCCATTAGCTAAAGTGGTGCTTCAGCTTAAGAATAGTTTCAGGTTAAGAACGGACCTCCGGAACGAATTAACTTCTTAACCCGAGGTACCACTGTACTTGGAAACTGGGCAAATGGGCCATCGTAAATTTGCATTAATTTCCAGATGCAGCTGAACTTGGAAAATCCTCTTACACAGCTCTCAACCATCTGTGGTAAAGAACTTAGTATTACTAACAACAGTTACTTCAAAGTAGAACTGTATAGTGGTCCTCATTCGCTGAAAAACCCCAATTTCCTTTGTTTTCTTCTGGCACAGACAATAGAATCAACTGGTATCTCAACACCTTCGTGCCAGTTCCTCATTGCTAAGTATCCTCCTGAGAATTCTCTCAGTAAATAGTGCTGTTATGACAAAGCATTCCCTAGCTGGTTTCTACACACCTGCAAAAAATGAATCTTCTTAAGTGTTAACAATATCACAATGCTACGACTTGGCGTGTGGTATAAAAAATAAAGTAATAGTGTAACAATAGTAACTCTATACCAGTCCTGTTTGAACTATTATCACTTCAGCATTCAAAAGTAAACAGTAGTTTTCCTGAAAAAGATCAATGCAAAGGGAATAATGCAGTGGTTCACTGCAAGTTTTTACAAAGGTTTCATTTTTCAACTATCAACATAAACGTCCTCATCGTTCACCTTACCTCACAGCATCTGTCAAGTAGTGCCAGCACAAATAGATGGTTTTGGAATAGTACATCAAGTTATGATACTGAGACTTCGGACTTGATTTTGTGAGGTAGAGATTTGATATTTCCGTGTTTCCATAAAATGCTGAAGAGGAAAGAAGGCAAAGTCAGTATTTAGCACAGTGGTGATGATATCTGTGGCATCTTAAGAACAAGAATAATGCATCTGCACAATTTATTTGTCCAACTTAAAGCAGTTTTTGATGCAATCTTCTTAGAAATCTACACTGACTCTGCTTGCCATTTGCCAAAATATACGTCAAATTTGGGGATTTAACAGCATCCTTGTGCAGCTCAAGGTGAAACTGCCTGGAAGCAGAGAGAGATTAGATGCCCTCTTGTGTATGCGCAACACACACATTCACCCTTGAATGTTTCACAAAAGTCTTTCTGTTTTGCAGGTGGGAAACAGACAATCATTTTAAAAAGAGCTGGAAGTGGTTTGAGAATCACCTTCCATGGTGCATTCATGCATATATATATATATATATATATATATATATATATACTCTCGCATGTAGCAAACACAGCTTGCAGATTATCAAAACAATATAGAAATAGGAAAAACCTATTTACCAAAGCTGAAAGACAGCTGAGCAGGTGAACCAGAACCAGCATTCTCTATTTCAGATTACCTTCAACGTCATAATAATAATAATAATAATAATACTTTATTATTTATACCCTGCCCATCTGTTTGTTGCCCACTGGCAAGCAGAAGGCTCCAGGCTCAATCCCTGGCCTCTCCAGACAGGGGAAGACTGTGCCTGAAACCCTCAAAAGCCAACACCAGTCAGGATACTGGGGCTCAGTAGATGGCTTGGACAACCTTGACCATTGGCCATTCTGACTCAGGCTGATGGGTGTTAAGGTCCTAAACATTTGGAATACCCAGGTTGTGGGCAGGTGGTGTTGGCGGCTGGTTCCTTCCTATATTCTTAAAAAATGTTATGGTCCGTTTCTAGGCACATAATGTGCAGAGGCCAAAACAGGGGTGGCTGCTCATGTTAGATTCCTCTGACACGGTTACCTCCTTCCTTTCTCACTTCTGCTCTCAGCAGCTTTAAACCCACACAGGCATCTAGCAACCTCTCCATTCCCTGGAAGCTGCTGCCCAGCTGTTCTGCAATGGCCTTCGAGGTCAAGAGATCTTCTGACTCTCTCAGCAGATCAAATACTCCCAGCTCACAGGCAGCAAACATCACCTAAAACCAAAGGAACGGGCAGGGATGAAAGAAGCAAAGAGAGAAAACACAGCAGCGGCTAACAGTGCAGTGACTTTTCAGAAGTAAGTCTTATGGAATTCAATGAGGCTTGCTCCCAAGTAAGCAGGGTTGGTTGGGATGGCAGCCTACAGTCGAATGGCAGAAATAATTTTAAACTGACCTCTGCAATGCATTGTTGAGATTCATCTAAGTCTTTATTAAACTAAGCATACTGAAGCTCCAATACTTTGGCCACCTCATGAGAAGAGAAGACTCCCTGGAAAAGACCCTGATGTTGGGAAAGATGGAGGGCACAAGGAGAAGGGGACAACAGAGGACGAGATGGTTGGACAGTGTTCTCGAAGCTACAAACATGAGTCTGACCAAACTGCAGGAGGCAGTGGAAGATAGGAGTGCCTGACGTGCTCTGGTCCATGGGTCACGAAGAGTCGGACACGACTAAACGACTAAACAACAACACATAGTCTGAATGCATATTTTTGTTGTGGGACTTTTAATGTTGCCATACACAATAAAAACAGTATGTTTAAGCCACAGCTGCAAGTCGATGTCCTCATTGTTTTTATCCTGGCAACAGACTCCTTTTAAAAAGAGCAATGTGATCTTGCTTCAATATCTTGCTTTACCACAAATTTTGAAGGCATAATTTCCCCCTTGGGGCTAAAGTTATTTATTGATGATTTTCTAGCATTTTTGAAAAGTTTACTTGTTCCCAGCTTCCTTGTGGGTTTACAAAACCTTTGCATTTTTCTATTGATTGGAATTGCATATCGCCTACAGAAGAAAATCTATTTTCTCTCTTTTTTTAAAAAAAAAAAAGGTTCATATTAGGAGTTTTCCTATTTCACACCTGTGAAGAATCTCAGATGTCTATCAAAATGGAACTGTGTTGACACCTCTTGCTCTCTTTCCACAGCAAAATACTGTTGTTAAGAAACAAGGCTAGCTTCTTCCTGGAGGACACAAGCTGTAAGCACTAAAGCAATTGAGCTCTTTCTACAAGCGGGCACTGAAAAGGTGGGAAAACTCTATGTGAGATTTACTTTTAAGTGACATCTTTGCTTGGTGCTGGATTTTTCCAAATTTGATATTCAGAGAAAAGTCAAAACCTGCTTTGCTTTTAACCTAAACATATATGGACTTTAGATTACCAAGAAATGATTGCAGGTTTGGAAATTTTAGTTTATAAGGAGCCCTGGTTCAATTGGAGATGATTCAAATGGTGGGGTTTAAGATTATTTACTTTGATACTGGTTTAAATTTCATTCATGGCATTCCTCCCAGCACATTTAGTTAACACCTGTTGTTGCAAGCTGTTGAACCCAAAATTAAAACAGATAAATTAAAAGATTCACCTCTATAGATGCTCTAGGTTCTGTACACATCCACAATAAGAAGAAAAAAGCATCACTTCCTAGTTTAAATTTTCTTGAGGCATATCATTTGTGAGCCTTACCTTTGATATTAAAAATCCATTCTGGTACTGAATTAAGAGACGAGGATATTCGAGGTCCTCTGCGGAGCTCATTTTTGTTCACTGCACTGTGAGAAATCCTCTTTCCTTCTTCATTTAAATAAGCCTCTTTAGCCTGTAGGCACAGATGATTCTGGGTAGTCCACTTTAACTGTACTAATACCATTCCAGACATATTTAGTCTTATTACCACAAATGTGCTGACGCAAGCTCTCCCTTCCAGGGGATGCTGTAGTCAGTGTTGTGGGTTCATTTGCTCGAATTAAAAACTCCACTAGCCAAAAGAAGGGTCTGAACTATTGTTAAATATATTAAAACGTGACCACCGAATAGCTTCAAGTGTGCAAGACCAGTTGATTGTGCGAAAGAGGCATTTTGCATTCTTTTTATTTATAGCTTTTATATATACCAGGCACGTCCAACTCCCAAGAGACTGTGATCTACTCCCAGTATAAAGAAACTGGCAGTGATCTACCCATTGTCATTGGAGGTAGGAGGAGTGTGCGTGGAGTGGGTGGATTGCCCAGAGTTGTTGAGCCCAGATTTGTTGAGGATTTTGGGGGGTAGGATTGCCCAGAGTTCTTCAGCTTTTATTTGTTAACTTTCGGTAAACTTTTATTTAATCCCATGATCAATAAGGGTCCGGTGATCTACCAGGATCAGCCGGGGATCTATCGGAAAAGCATGATCTACTGGTTGGACATGCCTGATATATACCAACGACTCAGTGGTGTACAGTAATTTGGTAACAAAGGGTTACAACGAAACAAGTCATTCTGTTAGCACATGGACTTCAATGTTTGGAAGAAATCTCAGATCTGCTCTGGAGGATTGGGGGGAAACCCAGAAGAGATTTTGGGGACACACAAGGAGAGAGAAAGGTGATGGGAACTTCCACTGTGCAAGTGTAAGTCTTTGCACTAAGATCAGAGGTGTATCTAGACTCCATTGCACCCTTGGCAAGAAGCTGTATTGGTGTCTCTGAAGCTGCGAGAGACCATGGACCAGAAACTCAAAACATTTGCTTTTGTCTCCTTTTGCACTCTGCCAGTGATTTCCTCCACGGCTATTGGGTTCTCCTCCATGTCACCCATCTGTCTGCCTCCCTGCCTCCTCTTGCTCCTTTGCCTTCTACCTTCATCCTTCTTTTTTCCTCCTCCTGAAACTCTGGCCTGTTCTCTCTGTCTTTCTTTCCAAGCCCCACTGGAGACTTGACTCACACTGCTAACGGCAGTGGTGGCTAACTGGGGAGGCGGCCCCCATGCCAGCAATTGGATTCCTCCGCCGAGGCAGTCAGAGAAGCCTGTGCGCCTCACCCAGCAACACAGAGCAGCAGAGGAGCGACCCAGGTGTGGCGTTCGTATAGAGCCCCCGGTCGTCTCACGGACTATTGACTGCTGCCACCAACCAGGTCCTCCCCGGTAAAATCACTTCAGTCTCAGTCCGGTTCTCAAGTTAATAAAGAGGAGTGTGTTTTATTTCAGACACAAACAAACTTTTACGGCGTTCCAAACGTTGCTACTCTTTACTTTCTTAGTCTTATTTCCTCTATCTCTTCTACCTCCCCTCACTCAAGAACCCACTGCCCTGTCTCTCTGTTACCAACTGCCTGCCAACTGCTTCTCCAACTGCCTTTCCTAACCAGCCAACCCACTAAAACCAACCAACTACCCACCAACAACTCCCAACAACTGACTCAAACCTCGGGCTAAGCCCCTTTTTACACAGATAGGCTCCGCCTTCGGCTTTCCTATTGGTCTATATTTTTAACCCTATCTCTCCCCCATGTTCAAACATTTTCTAAACGAACGGGCAAACGCCACACCAGGGAATACACAGACAGATGGGTGGGCTCCTAGCCTCTCCAAGCCAGAGTAGAGAGGTCTGATTTTTGCAACCTCCTGGGCTTGTGCCCTTGGCAGAGGCCAATCTAAACAATTCCTAGGTATGATGCTCCAAGCTAAAGTGGAACAAGGCCTTGCCAGCAGTGGCCCCAGTAAAGGATTTTGATTCCAATTAAAGTCAAGTTAATAGGACAAATACTAAAATAGATACCTGTGGGGTTGTCTGAAGTGAGTAGAAAGGGCTGAGGAAAAGGAATAGCGAATAGAGTGGTACCTTGGGTTACATACGCTTCAGGTTACAGCTTATGCTAACCCAGAAATATTACCTCGGGTTAAGAACTTTGCTTCAGGATGAGAACAGAAATTGTGCTCTGGTGGCGAGGCAGCAGCGGGAGGCCCCCTTAGCTAAAGTGGTGCTTCAGCTTAAGAACAGTTTCAGGTTAAGAACGGACCTCTGGAACAAATTAAGTACTTAACCCGAGGTACCACTGTACTTTGCTTCTCCAGTTTCTGGAAAGTCATCAGTAGAGGCCTCAGACTAACCAGCCTGATTCCTCAAAATAATCCGATTAGCCTACTGAGATATGGCTAAGACAATAAGCCTTGAATCTGCACCTCTGGTGTCAATTCATTAGATTACCTTAGACAAGCCAATCTCTTTCAGCCTCAGCATCCTCCCCTTGAATCTGAAGTACCATCTTATACCAGGGATAGCCAGTGCGGTGCCCTCCAGATGAACTCTACTTCCCAACATCATCCAGACCGTCACCGTTCCTCAGCATTGTTTTCTATGCATGTGAAGCACTTTGAACATCGAAAGTGCTGTACAAACATTATTGTTGCATGATTATTCCACACAGAAGACACGTGCTGTAGAAGGAAGTAAGAAGCACATGGGGCTTGTCAACCTGGGAAAGAAGCCCATCTAGAAAGAGGAAAACCTCTTTAAGGAAATTTTAAACCTCTGCTGCCTTGCAGGATATCTTTGGGGAAATAAAAGGCTCAGGACCCTACACAAATCCAAAGTGGAGTCCCTAAGACAGTTGGGTGACAAATTGTGCACCTTCTTCCAGCAACTCCTGCAGCCAAGCTGGTGCTAAATGTATTTCTGTTTTCTTTGGACCACACCAGCAAGTCTGAGAAGAGCATCTTCTTGTCTGGGCTGCTCAGGACCTCCATACCACGCTGCCCAGGCTTGTGCCCTGAGGTGGTCACTTTGGTATTGCTAATGCAGCCGTTTGACATCACCCCTGGAGGCACACTCCATTGTCTCTTGAGACAGATGGATGCCAACAGTGAGGTTGCTATGCATATGCAGATAGATAACATTTGGAAGGAACGCGGGTGGCACTGTGGGTAAAACCTCAGCGCCTAGGACTTGCCGATCGTCAGGTCGGCGGTTCGAATCCCTGCGGTGGGGTGTGCTCCCATTGCTCGGTCCCAGCGCCTGCCAACCTAGCAGTTCGAAAGCACCCCCGGGTGCAAGTAGATAAATAGGGACCACTTACTAGCGGGAAGGTAAACAGCGTTTCCACGTGCTGCGCTGGCTCGCCAGATGCAGCATGTCACGCTGGCCACGTGTCTGCGGACAGTGCTGGCCCCCGGCCTCTTAAGTGAGATGGGCGCACAACCCTAGAGTCGGACACGACTGGCCCGTACGGGCAGGGGTACCTTTACCTTTAACATTTGGAAGAGTCAACTCCCTTTTCAGTAAAAAGAAAGTAATTTTGAAATCTACATTATAGATAGATGGTAGATAGATAGATAGAGATGCAAACAACACTTTCCTGCTATGGCTCAAATGGCATCTGTCTCTTTAGGAGGCCCAAGATAATCAGCTGAAAAGATTTACTAGAGTAGTGCATCTGAAAGAGGATTGAAAGTTCCAATAACTAAACTGATTGAACACATTGCAAAGGTTGCACAAGCTGCTTTTTGTCCTTGATTATTACCATCTAAGCTCTCATTAGAATATGAAGATAAAACTAGAGTTTGGTTTCATTTGCCAAGAATATTTTAAGGTGCTCAAACCTAATGCCCGAAGTGCTTGTTATGAAAATATTTTCCGTTTTTGTGGATACCTCTGGTTATCCCATCTCAGAACGAATATGGTTGAGTGAGAAAAGACTAAGTAAAGGATTGGAGCACCTTCCCAATGAGGAAGATGGAAGCAGCCAGTAAGCAAAATTGGTGCTTCACTTGTGATAAAGGGTAATCCAGTCCTCACATATTTCTAGCCAGATTAATGACAAAAAACACAGGCTTCTGCGGAATGCGGCACATGTTCTCTTTTAATGCTAATTAATTAATTAAAATGTGGTTTTTTTAAATTAAAAGATAGGAAAGCGTCTCTTCTTGGGAAACTGAACTGTGCAATAATAATGTATGCTGCTGCATAGTACAATCACAGAATGTGCACAGAGCCAGAAACAGGCCAACGTTTTCTGCAATGTCGCATTTGGACTACTTACCACATTTGCAACCACCTTGATTCTAAGTTCTATGTGTATTAATGTGAACTTCGTCCCATTTTTTCCTCACAACTATTGTGTAAGGTACAGTGAGCCTGCAACTTATGCACATTTAACTTATGTGAATTCAGCTTTACACTTGGCCAAAAAAACTAAAAGGGGGAGGAAAGGGTTCTGAGGTCTGTTGGGGAAAAGAGACTTTGGCAATTCCACCTGCCAATGATTTTGGCTTCAGGCATGATCCCTGGAACTTAACAACATGCAAGTTGCAGGCTTACTGTATGTTAAGTTCAGAGAGAAAGTGTGCTGAGCTTCAAAGCTGCATGTGGATTTGAACCCTAGTTTCTTTGATACAAGTCCAACTACCCCATGTTCTTCTGATGCATGTGTCAAACTACAAACATTAAAATTAGTGGGCTGAGGGACTAAAGCATATTTTATTAGTGAGCTACTGTTTTGGATGTTCTAATTCACTCTGATTTTTTAAAAACGGCCTTGTTCTCTAGCTCCATTTCATCAATCTACATCTGTATGCCAGACATGGCTCTAATCTGCATCTGGTTATGCAACATTGTGCACATTACTGTGTGAAGTGGATGGAGTGGGTTTTAGCTGGTAAACATGCTCATTTCATTCTAAGAGAAAATTCTCGCCTGAATTAGGTAACACTCAATATTAGAACTGCTGGAAAAACCACCAGTGTCACAAATTGTTTTCTGCAAAAAAAATGCAATGTGCGAAAGTAACTATGTTCATGACGATACCTTTTAAGAACCTGGCCCAATTAGCCTGAGGGCTAGAAGTTCACAGCTAAATTTGTGTTAAGAGGAGTATCTCTTTTAAAGCCATCAGAGATGGCAAAGGAAAAAAAGGCTAAGTGAGGGTGAATTCATTCAAGGCTATTTAGGTCACAAGAAAGCCACAGCGGTTATGTGGCAGCTATTCTCAAAAAACATTTTTTTAAAACCCTGTAATTTAAGATGTTGCTTTTAAGTTCATAGCACAGAAACCAGAAAGTGTGTAAAACACTGTCAGCAGTGCTTGATCTTGGATATGCAGGTGCACAGATGTTCTCAAACGCAAGCATGGCTAGAAAATTTGACTGAAGCATTAAGATACCTATTATCCACCATCAAGTGGCACACATGGAACTCTGGAGTATTTCCTGTGCAAGTGCAAACTTGACCAGACTCCAGAAGACTATGAGGTGGCTTCTGGGCAGATAGCAGGACTTCCCTAGCCTGCTCTTACCACTGCAGCCCATGTGCCCCTAAACAACCACTCACAAGGGTCAGGGGGTCTTGCTGTACTACAGCTAACATGATTGAAAACGTAAACTATGGCAAAGTGCTGTGAGTAGGTTGAACAGCTTCACACAGAAACAGAGCACTTGAGGTCCTGTCCCCCAAACTTTCAAATTTGTGAAATTCTGGATGCAAAAAAAAAAAAAAACCAACCCCGTGAGCAAATAATATCTGAAATCCTTTGACCCCACAGTTTAGGTCAGATCATGCTTCAATGTAGATACAGCTACATTAAACTGAAATGCCACGAAAAGTATTAAATATTACATACAATAAGATCAAGGCATCGTTGGAAATACAGAAACAAAAAGGAGATTTCTAGTATTATGCCAAAGGTCAAATGTGACCTCAGGGAAAAAGTTTTTGTGCAGGAAATAAAACAAAAATCTTCATCAATGTGAAAGAACAGCGGGAACGTTCCTGCTTCTGGGAAGAGCAAAACAGCAGATAAGAATGAAATTATCTTGTAAAAGATAACTTTAAAATAGAACCACTTTATGTTAAGGATTCTGCATAATCAGTTATTAAAACAAAAGACAAACCAATTCATATTTAACGGTGTATACATCTTTTAATGTACCGAAATACGAAACAGTAATTTGGGTTCACTGGCAATGGCTTCTGTGGTTTTACCATTAAATGGTAAAAAAGCTGGTTTTGCACTGCAACGTTAATATTTTGGGGAAATTCCCGAGCTTCATTTTCAGAAGCAAAGATATTATTTTAAAAGTTACTTAAGAGAAAGTACAACTCTGAACCTGAACGTAGCACATAAAAATAATTTAGCAGGAAGGCCCCTCTTTCAAAATAGACACCTGTGAAATTGCATGTAGAAGAATATTTCAACCAATGGTTTGAACAAAGAAAAGGTCAAATGTGAATACTAAAACTACAGCAGCCTGTGTATCTGCTTTCCAAAGGCTCCAAAACCCTGGCATATTTCCTTCAAAATGGAACAAAATCTGTAAAGTAGCAAACACAATGTCTATTCGGGCCCTGTAACAATCTATCAAGTTTGCAATTGTCATAATAGCAAAGAAGGCATCACAGCAGTGTATAAAAAATATGGTTGCATCTAGCACCAATTAAGACAGCAAAAAATCCTGGCTGGAATTACTTATTTCCTGTGAATCAAGTAGGTCAACGTGTCAAGTTTACATTTCCTTTCAGAAACATACACATGCCAGTCTCTAAACAAAAGATTGCTGTGGCTGCAATCATTAGAAATGAAAAAGGACCCAATAATTTTGAAAATGAAGTGACATGCTGAATGCCTAATTAGGCTGGTTATCACAGAAAAAGCGTGAGCAAGAATGATCAGAATTTATAGCACTGTAGAAAGCCAACACATTGCTGACAGATAAAAGAAGCCCCCAAAATATTTCTGAAAAGCGCACCTATATGTACTGGACTCCATAAACTAAATTCAAGTAAAAAAAGAAGTCCCAATTAGTTTTCTTTTCCTCCCTGGACCGAATAACGAGAGCTCCACTACAGTCCTTTCTGAGATAGCCCTTACAAAAGGCCAAGTCCTTCATTACCTACTCCAAGTGCTTCTTTGGTTGCTCAAAGATCTCTTCCGGTGCTTTTGTTTCTTGCTTGTGCTCTTGTGGCCATGACTGCGTCCTCTTTTATCTTCCTTCCTGTCTCTGCTTAAGGATCGCCTGTGCCGTGCGTATTCCCGACTTAAGCTCCTCAGGCCAGGACTGCTCCCTTTCGCAGAGTATTTCTTATGGAGGCGCCTTTCTTTCCTACATTTTTCATCATCGCTACTCAAGTCTCTTCTGTGCCTGCTTTTTTCAGTCTTATCCTTGCTATGATGGTTGCCCATGTCTCTGCACGAGCGAGTCTTCCCCTTGCTCGGCTCCCTATTGCATTTGCCTTGCTCAGACAGCAAGTCTTTCTTGCAGGTGTTCTGCTCACGGTCTGGGGTGGTCTTGTGTTGCTGATTTGTAGGAATGCATGAAAGGACACCTGAACTACTTTCATCGGAAACGGTGTCCCTGTTACTGACATTAATCTTAGTGTCTTTGATGAGAACATCCTCATGCAGGCTTCCATTTAAGTACTTTGGCTGACTGCTCACACTTTCATTAGCCTTTATGCTGCTAGGACAGAGCTGCATCGGTTTGGCTAAAGGGGACTGCATGGAAGTAGATGCAACAGAACGGGGAACACCCACCAGCGCTTTCAAAGGCATAGGCTGCAGTGCATTAGCTTCACTCTTCTTCAGATGGGTTTCTTCTACCTTCTTATTCATGAGGTTGCTCAACAGTTTCTCCCTCAACTCTCTTTCTTTTCTCTGTAGTCCAAGAGCTCTCTCTTTTTCTTCCTCTACCCGTCGGAGTTCAGCTTCTTGCAGCCTCCTCCTTTCTTCCAAGTGCTGAAGGCGGATTTTTTCCTCGTTGTGCTCCTGTTCCATAAGCTTTATTGCCTAAAAAGATAGAGAGAAGAGATTTCCCTTAGTTCTATATCAAATACACTCATTCCATGGCAGGGTCAACGTTGCACAACTTCAGAGAACTGTTAGAAGGGAAACTATTCCCCAAAAAGGGAACTACACAGACCACAAGTAGGCAGGCTGCATCCCACAGAGACCTTCCCTACAGCCCAACTCAATACGCCCCATCAGCCCAACAAACAGATATATGCAGGGAACACAATTTACATAGGTAGAAAGGGCTTCCTCCACCATTCCCTTTACCGCCTATTGCAATAGTGCTTTCCTCAGCCTGCCAAACAGCTGTCTGATGGGCTGGGGGAGCACGTTGCCCAAGCCAATGAACTGGAGAAGGGGGAGGCATGTGATAGGACCTCTGCCTATCATGTCCCTCGTCTTTCTTGCTGCTCAGCTGACTGGCACTGGGAGGAGCTGAGAATTCATGGACAATGGGTGTGTGTACCCATTGGGTTCGCTGAAAGAAAGGTTTGTGAGCTTGCATGTGAGTGTGTGTGCACTCCACCCACCAAATGCAACTCTCAGGGCCAAAAATAATTGCCCATCTCAACACTCACCAACACACTAAAGGACAGAACCGTAGCAGATTTACTGCTTCTCATTCTTAAATTGCTAATGCAATCCAGCAGCCTTTCTGAAATAGGTTAAAAGCAGATCAGTTCCTAGGAAACAAGTCTGAACAACCCAACGAAGAAGCTCAAAAGGACCAAAAGATAAACTCTACTTTATACTGATCAACTTTTGCAACAAATAAATTTGCACTGTTGACAACTTGGTGACATGAAGACTTTAAGATTTAAGAAAGGCTTGAGATTAAGGAAAGTCGGAACTTTATTTTAGTTTTTTTTATTCTCCTTGAATGAATTGCTAGATTTTCCTAGGATTTCAAGTCTCTGTAAATTACTATTCAGGTCCTAAATAAATTTATAAGCAGAGTTATCTCATGAAACTGACAAATTGTTATTTGTGCCACAGAAGCAAAATCAGTGTCCTAAACCAGGCAAATGAGCACAAGCTATACATGAAAAGGTCCTTGATACAAACACATAACAACCTTCACTCCTCAAATGCAACAACTGCATTCTTGTGAACTCAGAAAAGCCTTTGATGCAGCAAGCTTCATGACTATCCCAAGGCTGGTCAATGATCGCTTACTGGAGAAACTAAGGTAATGGCACTGGATAAAGGGAGACACAACTCCCAGGTCCTTTGCATGCTTCCTGGATACAGGTTTTAGTCCCTTTTGCACAGATTGCATCACACATTGGTTCAGCTTTATGATGTTGGAAAACACAGTAGCCTATTTGTCCCTCAAACAGGAAAGAGGAGTGAAGACAGGGTTGGGCCTAGCCAAAACACAAGATAACAGCAAAGTGCTATGAGCATTATTTAAAATGGAGTAACTGAAGAGGCATCATTATAAAATAGAGAGAAGAAATCCGTGTGTGTGTGTGTGTGTGTGTGTGTGTGTGTGTGTGTGTAATTTATCAAATCCTCACTTATAAGCTGCTGGGGTTTTTTTATACTGCTTTCCCATGCACACATGTCCAGACCTTAAAAACAAACAACCAGTTACCTTCGCTCTGCTCAGCAGTTCAGCAATTAATCGAATAGACTGAAGGTTTCTCTGAGCTAAGAGAAGCTTCCTCTCTTCAAGCTTTATTTTCTCTTGTAGTTTTTTTTGCTCTTCAGCTTGTATTTTTTCAAGCCGCTTTTTGTTTCTACGAATTTCACGATCCTTTTGTTTCTGCTCTCTTTTGCGCAATTTCTCTTCTCTCTTTCTCTCTCTCTCCAATTCCTCAAGTTCTTTCTGTTTCCTAAGGATAAAGATTGCAGTTAGTCGCAATAGGTACAATCTTAAAGGGTTTTAAAGAATTCTTCAAACAAACAAACGAAACTACTACTAACAGCTTCAAATTCATTTGGAGGTTAAACCTCACCAATTTCAAAGGACTGCTCCAAGTTAAGGATTGAAGTCTTACAAAACAGAAGTAAGAAACAAAGCCATATTGAGCACAAAGCAACATTTCTAAATATTTTCCCAAGCCACAACAAGAAGGTAAAACAGAACTGATACTATTTTGATCATTTGATGGATAAGAACGTGGTATCAAGAACACCATGAATCACCATGAATTTGTTAAGTCTAATACACATTAACAGAATTGGCCATTAAAACACCTGTTTTCATCAGGAAGGTGGTAATGCAAGGTGTGAGAAGAACTGCTCACATTCTGATATGCTGTGGATAGATGCCATGCCTTCTATCTGGCTTAAAGCTAGCTCTGCATCAATAAGTTTGGGTGTAATTTCTGCAGCTAAAGCCATCAGTCTGCAAGAGCTGTGCTATTAACATCTGTAGTGATGAAATGCTTTGAGAGATTGGTTCTTCGACATCTTAGGACATGTTTTCCACCGGATTTTGATGAACACCAGTTCGCTTATAGGAGAAATAGGTCAACAGATGATACCATAGCCACAGCTTTTCACCTTGCAGCGAGTCATCTGGAGAGACCGGAGAATTATGTCAGAATGCGGTTTCTTGAATATAGCTCGGCTTTTAATACCATCCTTCCGGACATTCTTATTAAAAAACTGAGGGACCTGGACCTTTCTTCTACCATCTGTGATTGGACTAAAGACTTTCTGAGGGATCGCACACAAATAGAGGATTGGGCCTGTTACATCTACCTCTCTGAAGCTCAGCACTGGCACCCCACAGGGATGCGTGCTGAGTCCCTACCTGTAGTCGTTGTATATATGACTGTATCTCATCCGATCCATCTACTGTAATTATTAAGTTTGCAGATGATACCACCATAATGGGTCTAATTACAGGTGGAGATGAATCAGCGTATAGGGAGGTTCAAAAAGTCTCGACATGGTGCCTAGAGAACAACTTGCACCTAAATAACAGTAAGACAAAGGAGATGGTGTTGGACTTTTGGAGGAAGAGAGGGGAACTAGCCCCATTGTATTTCAGGGGGGCTGTGTGGAGATAGTCTCTTCCTTTAAATTCCTGGGAGTCTACCTTAGTGAAGACCTCACTTGGAAAATCAATACAACCCGGGTGGTTAGGAAGGCCCAACAGAGACTCCATTTCCTCAGGGTCTTGCGAAAGAAAAATGTCAAACAAAAACTGATGATGATCTCCTTCTACCGGGCCACAATAGAAAGTGTCCTTTCATACTGTATTACAGTGTGGTACACTGGTTTTACAGCCACAGACAGGAAGTCCCTACAGAGGGTGGTGAATACAGCACATGACATCATGGGCTGCCCCCTGAGTTTGCTAGATGACATTGCAGGAGACCGCTGCCTCAGGAGAGTGAGGAAAATTCTTAGGGATGACTCACACGATGGCCACCACCTCTTTAATCTCCTACCTTCGGGCAGGAGATACAGAAGTATAGTCAGCCGCACCAACAGGTTAAAGAACAGTTTTTATCCATGGGCTGCTGAATGGAAAAAAATAGTGGTGCAATTGACTTCCGACAAGCACACAGAGTGCGAACAAGTCTGCGTATATGGGGTGTGTGTGTGTTTAATTTCACTGCACACAGGTGGTGTAGTGACAATAAAAGTTTATTATTATTTTTATTGCAATAGAACACTGCCAAGAGTATCAAAGAGCTACTGAAAGCCATTTGATGCTATCCATATTCAAAACAGAACCACTGAAATCAGTGGACTTTATTTCAATGGGTGTCCTCTGAGTATGACTAAATGGTATCACCCCATGGTCTAGAATCATGGAATTAAACATATTTGGTGGCATATTAATTATCTCCAACCACAACCCAACAAAGTATACCAGCCTTATTCGTAACATGCTCAGTAACACTTTGATAAATAAGATGCTCAAGAGAAATGTACAGAGTATCCATTCACAACAGTGCAGTGTCAATGGAACTGCTCTGAAGTAATTTCATCAAAGACTGCAGCTTGGTGTCCTATCAGAAGGTTTAAACAGATTGTACTAGAGCAGGGGTAGCCAACATGGTCACTCCAGATTTTGTGGAGCTATAAACCCTTGTCATCCCAAACTACTAGCCATGCTGGTTGGAGCCAAAGGGAGATATAGCCCAACATCATCTTGAGATCACCACGTTGGCTACTCCACAGTAGACCTACAGGAGCTTAACTAAAGACACATATTAACAGGATCAAGTGTGTTAAGCTTAATTAGCTGAAAGTGGAAAAGGCCTTGTTCAGAAACTGTTATTTTCTTAGATTGATTTTACTCTCAGAAGCAACAGTGAACAGTCTATTGTTGTGCTTTCTAGATGAATAGTAGCATTTTCCAAAAGGTTATATCAAACACCCCAGTGCATGGCTTCTTAATGTAAACATTTACATAAAGCAAAATACAAATGGTTTACAATATTCAAAACATCTCTGAGTAATAAATTGCCCAAAATATAAAAACAGAAATAACTATGTTACATTTTACAAGTACAAAAACGTTAACAGAGTTTGTTATTTCTTAGGAAGGAAGCGTACCTTTCCTCCTCTTTTTGTCTTTCCTCTGCTTCTTTTTCTTTACGTTTTTGTTCTTCTCTCTGTTTTTCAAGCTCTTGGAGCTTCTGCCTTTCAAGCTGACGTTTCTTAATTGAAGCATCACTCAGGTGTTTTGTTGAATCAAATGAAACCTTTTACAGACACAGAACAAAAAGTATTCACATTAAAGTACACAGACAGATTTTTAAGTGTTCCATTTGATTTCACTGTGCATTTTAGAATGGAACACTTGTGGTTACCAGTTACAGAAGCTTGAAAACTAAGCCACATCAGGTCTGTCCACACTAGTAGACACTCTAATTTAATGTATATTATCACAGTTAAGGATATTCATTCCTAACCTTTAACAGTCCTGAACGACAGTGGTTCTCATATTTTGCCGCAGTGTGCCTCCTTAAGTAATTATCAAAAAAGCCTTGCAAGATTTTTGAACTGTAAATGACAGGCTTCCTAGTGTTTACTTGTCCTTTACTCAGTAGGAAGAACAAGCAAAAGGGACGCCCAGAGGACATTATTGACTAGGTGGCATGTAAATACAATTCCAATTAATCCACCCATAAAATGGGAACACTGAAAGATTCCAATGTTGAATGCATCATTATTCAAAATGCTCACATAAGACTTTTTATTACAGTTGCAATGGACTGCATTCAAAAGGAACACAAAGGTTGCATGCCTGAAACCATATTTCAATGCAGATAACAGTGAATTCCCAGTAATTGATGGGCTGATTCAACTATTTTCCTAGATGTCCACTCGTACTGTTAAAACCACTAACTTACCCACATGCCTTTCTATTTAAACTGAGTATCTACTGACTAGATAAATACTGTTACTTCTAAATGCAAACTCTAATTTCACATAGACTTTACTCTATTCTTTAACAGAACATATTAAACAGGGAATTATATACTATTAAAAAAAATCAGCTGGAAAGATAAACATAAATAATGCCAGAACAATTGCTCTTCTTTTCAGTGTTATGATTACATGAATGGCAAAAAAATCATGATTACATGGAATGGCAAAATAACTTTCATTTTAAATTGGGAATTGCATGATATAGTGTATGAACCAACCAACCATCAGTCTCTCACAAGACAACTTTAGCATATTTTCTTATGTCACTCCTACTCTCTGTTCCCACACGCAGCAGAGCCCTATTTGGGTGTTCATCTCCCCAATGCAATTAGAATAATATAAGGGAGACTGGAGACACAGCAGTTGGTCCAGCCCCCATCATGTCCCCATACCAGGCTCCATGCCCTTCTACTTCCCTGGATGGTGAATATGTGCAGTGGGGAGCTTGCTTTACTCATGAGATCCATGTGCAATTTAGAATCATGTAGAGTTTCAATCCCATAGGGAACCTCTATGAATGAAGCAAGCTCTCTGCTATAGATATTTCCATCCCTACGTTGAGACGGGGAACAAGGGTAGGCATAGGTGAGCACTAGAAGGCGAACACTAGAATATAATGGAGAAGCAGCTAGGCAACATGTCCCCACTCTCTCTAGTGTGTGAAACAGCATGCTTCGATAGGGCCTAGGAAAAGGGCACGAACTTCAAAAAGTAAGCACAGAATGAAGCACAGGAAACAATGCAAAAGGCAATTCAGAAGGATGCCACAAAGTACTCAGGTTTAGAAAAAGACTGGGTATTCTTTTAATGTATTTTTTGAGATCATCTGACTTAAAAAAGACTATGGATGAGATCAAATGTAGGGTAAGTGGGCATACACACAGGAAACAGGGCTTCCCTTCCTATCCTCCCACTACTGGAGCAGATTTTTTTTAGGGGGGCAGGGATGCTGCTGAAGGAGAAATAAGAAAACCAGAAGCACTTTTGTGCAAGTGGATTTCTGCTGCACAAAGAGAAGCTGCACTGGCAGCTGCTCTATATATTTAGTCTTTCAGATGTCTGCTACATCATTACAATTCATAAGCTGTATACCCATATCTTGTTATGAACTAGTGACAGCACATTGCCCCAATTCATACTTCACAGTTACTATAATTTGTGACATTCTTTGCGAGCTGCTCCTTCTGTCATATTCAAAGTTACATTCCCCACACCATTTAGTTGGGCAATGCTTTGGGTACCATTTGTGGAAAGGTGGCATACAAATGTTTAAAATAAATGCCTCTAAAGGTTCACTATGGGGTGCATGCACCTAAAACTGGTAACTTAAGAACGAGCTCATCAAAATATAAAGGAAAAGAACATGCAATGTTTCTTTGATGAATTTTCTACTAGGAACAGCTCAACAGTATCTCACCTTTAAGTTACAAGCCACTGCTTTGCCATCTTCACCTTTGTACATCAGCTTCATCCCTCGTAAAGCATTCATAGCCTTGATGAAACCTGCATATTCCTCATACTGAACATAAGCTTCAAAATTCAAATGGCCTCCAAAACTGAACGTATGAAAGTTTCTGCCAGTCATTTCTTCCCTATACGGGTCCAACATGGGTATGTCCACATTCCGTATTTCCCCAAATTTACTAAACACTTTAATAAGAACTTCTTCACTTGGTTTTTCTGAGCCAGAGTCTTTCAGCGCAAACCATTTACAAGGCAAGCCCTCCAGATGAATAGTGTCTGGCCTTTCCCCTGGCAGAGTTTCATTCATATCTTTTGCATCACGAAAAAAGGAGTCCCAGTCATGTCGAGTAGGAAAGTCAATTTTGTATTCTGCAGCACGGACTTTTAAAATGTCTGAAAAGCCACTAAGTTTTATAGTTTTGCCATCCAGGCATGCAAGGAAGGATTTAACCAGACTCTTATTTTCTACCTCTCCTTCAAAGCGGATGAAATCCATGGTGCTTTTAGATATCCGCAAGGTTGAGAACTGATGTGTTTGCACCATTCCTTTCAGCCTTTCCATCACTTCCCAGTTTGAAATAGACTTCCCAGGCTGCTTTAACTGAGGAAGTGCCACACTGATGGTCATTTTTGTAATGGGCTTAAGGTATAGCCCATAAGGAGAACAAAGCTCCACTGCTTCTGATGTGTCATGAACTATTGTAGCAGCTGCCATAGCTACAAAAAGGACAATAAGCATACAAGGGATAGTAGGCTTATCTGTGATTTAGACACTGACAGAAAGTGGTTCCTTTCTTAGAATAAATGATCATTTTAACAGTTTCCTGAAAGCAGCATTCAAAGGCTTAAGAACAAGTCCTCTGTTAAAATTTATCAAAACAATATATAGAGAGTCCACAACAAAATATTATGCTCTTTCCTAATCACACTGCACTTCTGTGCTCCAGCTGCAAGCAGAGAAACTGCAAAGCTGTGTGATGGGTACTAAGAAGGAGTGTTTAAGAAGGAGAAACTGAAGATGCACAGAAACAGCTGTAGTCTTTTGCTTCAAATTCATTGCAGGTTGTTTGATGCATCACAACTGAGATGAATTCGAGTGGATACAGAAACCAGAAATCTGTAAATTGAAACAAATGAATTAAGAGTCTTACTTTCCATCCTATTAAACCAAACACAGGATTATTTTTAGTTAATGAAGCACTGAAGAGCAGCAAACACCTCAAAGCCAAAGTTACTATAAAACGATTTCTGGGAAAGTATTAAGTATAGCATGTAAATTATATATTTGCTATGTAGAGCAAAATTTACAAACTATTGTTACACAGTGAGAATACATCCAACTGACAAGTACTGCAATCCTAACCCTGTCTATTCAGAGGTAAATCCTACTGAATTAAATGGGGCTTACTCTCAGGTAAATGGGGTTAGGACTACAGCCTAAGTTGATAATATTTTCATTAGCATTACCTGTATGAAACATAACAAGTTTCAGCAACCCTAACTTAGAAATCAACTACAACAGTTAAGATAAAAAGAGAATTTACTAAATTGTCATCCAAGTTAATACTATTTTACTGTTTGTAAAAGGTGAATAGATATATTCTACTTTCAATTACTGTAACAATTAATTTAACACCATAAAATTAAATTATGCAACTACATAATATGATTGCATGCTGCTCAATGGGGAAAGCAGGAGAATGTAAGGAGAGTCATGCTGGGTCAGGCCAAAAAGCCTATCTAACCCAGCATTTTGTTTCCGACAGAAGCCAGCCAGATTGTCTCCTGGGAGCATGAAGGTGACAGCTATCTCCAGTTTGCTCCCAGTATTCAGTGCACACTCCCTAAAACACAAGGAAGAAGAAATTGGGCAATGAATCAGGTAGGCCCCACTTTTCAGGCTGGTGCTCAAGAAGGGTTCCAGGTCCGAAACAAAGACTGACCGCACAATATGCAACACAAGGAGTGTGTGTTGTACTAAGGCCAGCCAGAGAGACCTGGGTTCACATCCACCCCCACCTGGCCCTGGACTAGAAAACGGCTCTAGCCTGTCTCAGTGCTGCTGTGAGAATGAAACCAGAGGAAGGCTTATTGATGCAAACCCCCAAAATGTATTTTCTATGGTTAAGTTTTTACCTCTATCTTCAGTACATTTTATTTTATTGCTAGAGCTAGTGGCTGATGCAAATATTCTTCCCATTCTGACTCCAGAGGAAGGGCAGGGAAGCCTAGTGGCCTGAGCCCCTGGAAAGGAGGGCGCAGGTGAAAGGAGCCTGGTGAAAGAAAGAAAGAAAGAAAGAAAGAAAGAAAGACAGAAAGAAAGCCGACGTCGTGCTGGGGCTGCAGGCTTAGAAAAAGGAGCTGTTGGGGGGAAAGGGGGGGGCGATGAGCACAGAATAGAGAACTTGAGCAGAGGACATTCGCTTTTTTCGCAGGCGGGGCGGTGGGCTAAGTGCCACAACGGGCCCGAAGGCAGGCTGGCGTCTCCCGCACAGACACGCACCCAGGAAACGTGTCGGTCCTGACACACGCACAACAGCACACGCGCACTGTGGGCGACTGGCTACAGGCGGAGCGGTGGGCGAGAGGAGGCACCTACCGCGCGCCCGGTCCTCGGCACATCTGGCCTCCGCCGAACTGAGGAGGAAGGACCAGCCCCGCGCCGCCGACGCCCGTCTTCTTCCTCCTCCTCTCCAGGGTAACCCGCGGTCGCCTCTCTCTCTCGTCCGGTCTCCCGCGCACGCGCGCACCTCACCGGCCTTCCCACAGTGCCCAGCGCCACCAAAACAAAAGCACTTCCGCTTCCTCCGAGATAAACGAGGGCGGGCACGTAGGACGCCCGCTATAGAGAGAAGGGAATGCCCTTATAAGGGCTTGGTGCACACAGAGAGACGGCGAGCACGGAATGTAGAGGGACACGCGTGATGCGCACTTCAGGTTTCAAGACGGCGAGGGAAAAGTTTTCTGAGTTGCTCGCGGGTCAGCGGGACGCGCGGCTCCTCCTGCATGCATGCGTATATGCGGCAGAGAAGGAGGAATAATTTTGGGTAGCTAGAGCTTCAGTTGCATTGTGATGCGTGTTTTGTCTTGGGATTATTAATAAAAAAAAAATCAGTCTCAGGTCTCATCTTACAGAGTCATAGAATTGGAAGAGGGTCCGCGGGTCATCTAGTCCAACCCCCTGCAATGCAAGAATCTCAGCATCCAATTTGAAAGCAACTTGGTATGTCCCTCAGCCAGCCTGACGCTCAATACAGTATTAACAGCGGGCTATGATCTTGCTTTTCTTTAATTCTCAATCATACCGTTCTCTAAATTTGAAGCATCGTGGCAATGGATCGCGTTTGCTTTAGAATTTGCACCGGTGGGACTATTATTATTTTTAAGCCATTCATACAAAGCAAGACCGCAATTAAAAGGAGTACGGGTGCCTTTTTTTGCTGCTAGTAGTCTGCGATTTTTTGATTCTGAGTGAGTGGGATCGCGCTGGTGTCTAAGCACAGCTGCGATATATAAATAAATGTAAGTTAAAAAAACAACAACACGACTCCCTAGATTCAAATATCGTATTCTAATCGATGGGAATTTGTCACTTCCAAGGAAAGCTGCAAGAATGATTTTTCCAAAGTTAGACCAGGTATTCCTCCTGTTGAGGCAAAGATACGTTACAAAGATACTTAAAATACTGTATATAAATCTATGGAACTAAGATCATAGAGTTTAAAAAGAATTGGGCTTCCCAACCGTAGAAAAATCTCTGTCTTCCTGGCGTTACATCGTTAAAGGTGGGCTGCCATCTAGTGGTTCAGTGCGAATTTTCAACGTATCATGTCAAGCGAATGAAAAGACGTTGAGACTACTTTGTTCTTGTTTTAAAATTTCCTATTGACCATATAGTGGGTTTTTAAAAGAAAACTAGACAATTTTTTATGTGAGAGAGCTGAGTTGTGATAAATTCAGCAGCCAACTCCACATAAAATCTGACCCATGTTGACCGTGACATACAGCAGTGTCAACGTACATCACACTGAATAAGGGTGTACTTACTTAATTTTATTTCTAATTATATCTCACTTTCTTCCAAGGAGATCAAGGTGGCATACATGATTATCTTCTACAACAGCTCTGTGAGGTAGGCTAGGCCAGAGCTTTCCAAACTTTTCATGTTGGTGACACACCTTTTTAAACCTGTATCACTCGTGACACAGTAGTTCAGTTTTACTAGCAAACCGGAGGTTATACTAACTCCTTTTCAGCCTCTGGAGGAATGCAGGGAGCATTTGCGCGACACACCTACACACTGCAGCCAACACACAAACGTGCTGCAACACACAGTTTGGAGAGCTCTGGGCTAGGCTGACAGATGGTGGCCGGCTTAACGTCACCCAATGAGCTTCATGGCTGAGTGGGGATTTGAAGCCCGGTCTTATTTCATGTGTGTGCTTTCATGTGCTTTAATAGCGGCTGTGTTTGGACCATTAAGACCAACATGGTGCTTTTCATTATATGACAGCTCATAAGTAAACTTGCAAGCTGTTTCGACTGGCCAGTATTAGTTTTGCTGAAATGGCGAAACTAACTGGAAAGCTCAGAAATCAAGATGGCAAGAAATTAAAAAAGAATGGGAAATGTTTATTATGTGTTTACAAAAGTATTGTAAACAGGTTAATACATTGGCAGGATTTTAAGAAATAATACAGGAAAGTTGAGGTAGAAAAATAATTTCAAGTAGAAATGATATGCAGTTGAAAAGGAAATTTAAGGAACCCGGGGGTGGGGGGGAGGGAAGTCAAGAGATTCCCTTTGGATTTGATATTGTTTTTGTGTATATTTTTCTTTGGTTGTGGTTGTTGTTTGTTTTTTATTTTTGTTATTTCTGTTGAAACTTTAATTAAAATATTATTTTAAAAACAAACAAACCAGTATTAGTTTGCATGATGTATATTGAATATAATAAATGCCTCATTAAGGGAAGTTGTGCTCCATTTGGCTTAGAAAGTGAAAGCACTACTGAAGTCCCTTCCTTAGATCTGACTAGAGGCCAGAGTCTAGCCTTCCTTTCCTAGACCAAATGGTTTAGCAGACTGTGGCCTGCCCATGGTGTCTATTTCTTTCTCATATGCAGGTCATCAAGCAAGTATGTAGATAACAAAAAGCTTAAATCAGTTCAGACTCATTTCCCAAGAAGAATAGACTATTCTAGTTCCCCATATTGACATCTTACAATTATTCCTTTGCAAATAAAATTCTTGCCAGACTACATCTGTCTCTGATTGTGTGTGCTTTTTAAAAACCAAATTGTACAAAAATTGCTCTGTCCTCAAGCTCTGACTTCACCCCCCACCCTATTTAAAAATACTGTCCAGATAGTTGAGAATGGCTTGCCACTTGCTTCACTCTTTAACATAGTTTTTCAGTTACCTGGGAGTAAGTTCCATTTGACATAATAGGACTTACATTTTAGTAAACCCCAAGCATATGGCTGATTATATTGCATGTTGTTAAATACACCATTCAGTAAAACTAATTTATTACATTAGAACTCCACTAGAGGAAGCTGTTTCCATGAAATTAAGCTTTGAGGAAATCTTAACTTCTTGAAGCTGTTTCATAGTCTTAGACTCAATTTACAGTTGGCAAAGGAAACATTCAAAAAAGAAAAATAGGTCTATCAATGGCTATTACCTGTGACAGCTAAATGTCATATAGTCAATAGTAGCATATCTTTCAGTACTGTCTATAGATAGAAAGCAAAATTCTTGAATTGAACCTCCTTCCTTTGTTTCGTCTGTGTTACATTTTAGATTGCAATCTACTCAGGGCAGCAACCTGTTTTGCTGTGCAGCGCTATACTTGTCTACTCAGAAGTAGGGTCATGAAAAGGTCTGCAGAATAGGAGAGGAGGGTAGCTTCAGAATTGGGTGGAAGGTGGAAAAGGTGCAAAGAAGTTGCAATGTGTGGGACGAGGAAGATGCTGGATTGTACAAAAGGAGGAGGTAAAAACAGAAGCAAAATGGGGCTGGAAAACAAAAAAAAGAGAAGCAGTGTCAGAATAAGGGGTTGGGAAGGTGAAAAGTGAGCTGAGTAATTGCATGGGGTGGGAAGAGGAAGCTTTAGGAAGTTAATGTGGGGAAAAGGTAGGGCGGCTGGCGAGCAGAGGAAGCAGGGGTGCAGCCCCTAGTTATAAATGCAATTCAAGTCCATTGCTAAAATTGCCACTTTTCAGGGTTTATCCAGCTCCCACTGGTTCTTTAGAAGTTAAATCTAGTTTGTCAAGTACAGTATGTTGAAAGATGTTAGAACATCACTATTTCCCTCACAAAAGCACAATATAGATCTCTGTCAGCAACTATTAGGGAACGTTCACTAAAAATTGTGGCAAGATTTTTGAGTGACGCCATGAAATTACATCACCATTAAGAGCCATTTTCGTACCTCATGATGTCTGGAAAGTTTTATCCTAAAGTATCCCCTACTATCGAAACAAAATAAAAAAAATCCTTCAAGTAGCACCTTAGAGACCAACTATGTTTGTTATTGGTATGAGCTTTTGTGTGCATGCACACTTCTTCAGATACATATCTGAAGAAGTGTGCATGCACACAAAAGCTCATACCAGTGACATACCACAAGAAAGTTCATACCAATAACAAACTTAGTTGGTCTCTAAGGTGCTGCTTGAAGGATTTTTTAAATTTTGTTTCGACTATGGTAGACCAACATGGCTATCTACCTGTATCTCCTACTGTGTTTCGTTAACTGTGTTGTGTTCTGATCCACGTATATAATGTACTTTTTCTATGCCAATAAAGGAGATGATTGATTGATTGATTGGGGAAAATGTACATTAATGGTATTTAACACTGAGGTATCTATCTTATATATAAAGCCCAATAGCTATCTGTTATGCTGGCAAGGGTGCCAAATTATAGGTACATACAAACATATGTGGTGGAAACGTTGACAAATTTTTGAAGGAAGCTTCTACAGAGATCAGATTACAGCTCAGACAATTCCAATAACCCCAGTTTTAGACTTACTGTATATACTTAGACTGTATATACTTCAGATATGGACCAATTAAAAAGTAAGGAATTAATAACACATTTAGTAATAGCAGTTAGAACAGTAATAGCCAGCACTTAGAAAACTTTGCAATTAATGAATATTGATCACTGGTGTAAAATAGTCTGGCAAAAAGCCATAATGGAAAATGTATTGCAAAAAAAATAAAAATGAAGGTGGCAAGGGGAGAGAGAAAAACGATACAGTGGTGCCCCGCAAGACGAACGCCTCGCAAGACGAAAAACCCGCTAGACGAAAGGGTTTTCCGTTTTGGAGGCGCTTCGCAAAACGAATTTCCCTATGGGCTTGCTTCGCAAGACGAAAGCCCATAGGGAAATCTCCGATCCCGCGAAGCCTGGGCGCGCTGATCTCAGCGCGCGCAGGCTTCGGCATGCCGGCAACTCTCCGCGAGCAGCGGCTAGCGCTGCCGCTGCTCGCGGAGAGGTCCGCGGAGCCTGGGCGCGCTGATCTCAGCGCGCGCAGGCTTCGGCATGCCGGCAACTCTCCGCGAGCAGCGGCAGCGCTGCCGCTGCTCGCGGAGAGGTCCGCGAGCCTGGGCGCGCTGATCTCAGCGCGCGCAGGCCTCGGCATGCCGGCAGCTCTCCGCGAGCAGCGGCAGCGCTGCCGCTGCTCGCGGAGAGGTCCGCGAGCCTGGGCGCGCTGATCTCAGCGCGCGCAGGCTTCGGCATGCCGGCAACTCTCCGCGAGCAGCGGCAGCGCTGCCGCTGCTCGCGGAGAGGTCCGCGAAGCCTGGGCGCGCTGATCTCAGCGCGCGCAGGCTCCGGCATGCCGGCAACTCTCCGCGAGCAGCGGCAGCGCTGCCGCTGCTCGCGGAGAGGTCCGCGGAGCCTGGGCGCGCTGATCTCAGCGCGCGCAGGCTCGGCATGCCGGCAACTCTCCGCGAGCAGCGGCAGCGCTGCCGCTGCTCGCGGAGAGGTCCGCGAAGCCTGGGCGCGCTGATCTCAGCGCGCGCAGGCCTCGGCATGCCGGCAACTCTCCGCGAGCAGCGGCAGCGCTGCCGCTGCTCGCGGAGAGGTCCGCGAAGCCTGGGCGCGCTGATCTCAGCGCGCGCAGGCTTCGGCATGCCGGCAGCTCTCCGCGAGCAGCGGCAGCGCTGCCGCTGCTCGCGGAGAGGTCCGCGAAGCCTGGGCGCGCTGATCTCAGCGCGCGCAGGCTTCGGCATGCCGGCAGCTCTCCGCGAGCAGCGGCAGCCCTGCCGCTGCTCGCGGAGAGGTCCGCGAGCCTGGGCGCGCTGATCTCAGCGCGCGCAGGCTCGGCATGCCGGCAACTCTCCGCGAGCAGCGGCAGCGCTGCCGCTGCTCGCGGAGAGGTCCGCGAGCCTGGGCGCGCTGATCTCAGCGCGCGCAGGCTCGGCATGCCGGCAACTCTCCGCGAGCAGCGGCAGCGCTGCCGCTGCTCGCGGAGAGGTCCGCGAAGCCTGGGCGCGCTGATCTCAGCGCGCGCAGGCTCGGCATGCCGGCAGCTCTCCGCGAGCAGCGGCAGCGCTGCCGCTGCTCGCGGAGAGGTCCGCGAAGCCTGGGCGCGCTGATCTCAGCGCGCGCAGGCTCGGCATGCCGGCAACTCTCCGCGAGCAGCGGCAGCGCTGCCGCTGCTCGCGGAGAGGTCCGCGAAGCCTGGGCGCGCTGATCTCAGCGCGCGCAGGCTCCGTCATGCCGGCAACTCTCCGCAAGCAGCGGCAGTGCTGCCGCTGCTTGCGGAGAGGTCCGCGAGCCTTGGCTGGACAGCTTTTGAAGGCAGGTGGGGGGGACAAGACTTTCGCCCCCGCCAGCCTTCAGAAGAGGTCCAGGACCTCTTCTGAAGGCTGGCGGGGGCAAAAGTCTTTGTCCCCCCTGCCTGCCTTCCCAGGGGCTTTTAAATTGCCCCGGACAGCGGAGAAGTCCTCCGCTGTCCCGGGGCAATTTTAAAATGCCGCCCGCCAGCATTTTAAGATCGCCCCGGACAGCGGAGAAGCCCTCCGCTGTCCCGGGGTTTTTTAAAATGCTGGGGGTGGGAAGAAAAGCCCTTGTCCCCCCCCCCCAGCCTTCAGAAGAGGTCGGGGGACAGACTGTCCCCGGACCTGGTCTGAAGTCGGTTTCCCTAGGAACGCATGAATTGATTTTCAATGCATTCCTATGGGAAACCGTGCATCGCAAGACGAAAAACTCGCAAGAAGAAAAAACTTGCGGAACGAATTAATTTCGTCTTGCGAGGCACCACTGTACTGTTTTTTACACTGTGTGGTATGGTTTTATTAAATATACAAATGAAACAATACATGGATGAGAAATACCTACAGCATATTGCAATATGGCATACATAAGCAGGCACTGCTCATTAGCTCACTTCTACAGTTCTATTTTCTGAGTTGATTTATTGAAGAATTCATTGAACTGGTTTACTGTAATAACTTTATTATTATGTACTGTAAAACAATATGTTTAGTATTTACCCTCCCCCATGACCCATTTTTTTGTCAGCCGTGTCATGTTTCATGATTTATGGGTGTACAATTTTGTAAAAGAAGAATATATATACACAGAGAGAGATTTTTTTAAAAACAACAACAACGGTGTATAAAATTTATGAAATAAAGAATACATGACTGTGCTATATTACCACTCCTCTTTCCTACCACTTCACAGCCATACTCTGCTCACACCTAATGCATGCGAAGTCTGGGCCACTGCAGTCACCACTTTTCCGTGTGTGATGTTGCATCCCTGCAACATCCTGGGTGCTTTTCTGCCACCTTTACTGATGCAATGGCCTTTCCCTTAATCCTATATGTTTCATTTTTGCCTTGCACACTAGTGGACTGTGCCTCTCATTTTAGCTGTTGGGAAGTGAAGGGGTGGGGAAAGAGACCACAACCAGTTGGGAATACCCCGGCCACTGAGTGCGTTATTATTCAGAGTGCCGTCAGACCACAATGGAAATATAGACAATTTGTAACATTGCTCAGGTTCTGCTTTTGGGGTAATGTTTGAAGAAATGCATTGTCCTTACAACTTTCTTCAGAGTTCATTTCTGAGCATTTTGGCACACTGTATTGAATGAAGGTATTAATTGCAGATCTGAATAATTTTGCAACTTCCAAACCAAACACAGCCTAGCAGACTTAATATTATGGCCTGCTCGATGGCTGGCAACTCCTCTCTTTTTTTCAGTTCTCAACAGGCAACACCAGGAAGCTGTTTAGGCCCTTGGTAGCTTGTAGTCCAGTGGTGTACAGGGTTGATTTAGTTGGCTTGTGAGCAGCCCAATTCCCAAAGGTAGAAGGCAAACATCCGTCTAATGTTGCCCCCATGAAACCCCTTTCCTTGTGTTTTTAAATTGCTTTAACCAGGGCTCTTTTTCAGCTGAAACTCATACTCAGTTCCAGTACCTCTCAGGTGGGTGCCATTGCTATTAAAAGAGAACAAGGGAGATGTTCATAGTGAGTTCTGGCACCTCTTTTTCTAGAAAAAAAATAGCACTGTAACCTGTCCTGGGATGTAAGAAATCTAATGCAATAAATATCTCGACATTGCAAGGAAGCTGGTGGCTCAAACACCAGTACATCACAGAATCACAGATTTGTAGAGTTGGAAGGGAGAGTGGGGGTCATCTAGTCCAACCCCCTGCAGTGCAGAAATCTTTCACCAGCATGGGACTTGGATCCATGACTCTGAGATTAAGAGTCTCATGCTCCATCAAAAAGAAATCCGCCATGGCTCTCTGACCGTCTGCTGCATTTTTACAGACGGCCACTTATTCTCGCAGTGCTCACATTCCAGCCAACTGCAATCCTAAGCAACTACTCTCCTTCCAACCCTGGTCTTTGTCCTGCTAACTAACTCAGAGCTGGAGGAGGGGCTCCTCCCATTTTTCCATCAGGCACAGAGCCCCTCTCCATAGCTTTCGTAATGGACCATTCTCTTTCCTTTGACTTTGGACAATAGCTGATCGCCCAGGTGATTTCCTGAACACAGGAAGCTGGGTTGACCTGTATTTTAACACTTTGCTAAATCAAATATCCGGCATCCAAGAATTAGAAGGGGGTTCCAGGCACTCCACAAACTCATAGCAATACTAAGGGACAAAGCAAAAAATGACAGGGGTAATTGGGCGTAGTTATTTCCGCTTCTTCTTTTTTTTTTGGCGTGTGTTCTTTTTAAAAACAAACTTGAACCATGAGGATAGAAGATCCTGTTCTCCATGCAATATGTGTTATTTTTGTGCGCAAAAGCATGAACATGAAAAGGAAGTAGGTGTTGCAATATACTCTCTGGAGCCAGCGTCCAGACACTTGAGACAAAATTTGAACCTCAAACCTTCACAGCGGCAGATGTGAATGAATAAACAGGTAAACTAATTGGTTTTTTTTCTTTTTTAAAAAAGGTAACGGAAGAAGCAATCATTTTTACTAACAGGCTTAATTTATTATACAGTATTAGTTTTGACTGCTATTTCTTTTTTAAAAAACTATTTACGTGTAGTGTATTTACGATTAAGTGTATTGCAAAGTCTAGCTCTGTTACTCAGAAAGCTGCTTTGGATGGAATTCAGTTGCCAAGTTATTTAACTAGAAGGAGAGCATGTACAATGAACATTGAAGGAATATAAAAGATGAGTACGTATATGTTCCAAACATATTTAGTGTATGTGCTTCTGGGTAAGGGGTTTCTGTGTGTAGTAGTAGTAGTAGCAACAGGCTAATATATATCTATTTATATGTATGCAGGCATCTGGATGCTTGTGAATTTTTACCAGACACAAATTTACCATCCACTTGGGTCAATTTCATTCCCAGAGTAAATAGCTCTTCCATACATTAGCAAGCATTTTGCATTAACTGTGATAATTTCACTCATTAACATGACAAATTCTCTTTGAGAAAATATGCTTTTTTGGGAACAGAATTTCTCAACACTATACAGTGGTACCTCGGGTTACAAACACTTCAGGTTGCAAACACTTCGGGTTACAAACTCCCCTAACCCAGAAGTAGTACCTTAGGTTGAGAACTTTGCTTCAGGATGAGAATGGAAATTGTGTGCCGGCAGCGCAGCAGCAGCGGGAGGCTCCATTAGCGAAAGCGTGCCTCAGGTTAAGAATGGTTTCAGGTTAAGAACAGACCTCCGGAACGAATTAAGTTCGTAAACCGAGGTACCACTGTACTGCAGGTTTAAGGACCTTAGATAATTTCTGTCAGTCTAAGGAAACATAATAATTTCCCTAAACCCCACCACCTAGCAACATCTCTGAATATTTATATGCATTGGATAATGCTTATTGTGCCCCTCCCACAGTTTTAAAAGCATCCCAAAAGTATGCTAGATTCTTTCTTTTTTAAAGAGCTTATTTGAAATTCAGGGGCGTGCTTGGGGAAGAACAGTTAATAATACAAATGAGGTCAATGGACATTCATTACCTCTAGTTTACATGTCCCAGAGAAAGATAGGGAAAAATTCTGATTTGCAGGAAAGGATCTCCCATGAGCCTTTGCAGTAATCCTGAGGTGCACAAGCTTACTAATTGTTATGTGGGCATCTTAGCCCTCCAATGCAACTCACCTTTAAATACAGCATGGGGTTTGGTAGTTGTTCTCTCCACACACCCAGTTCATCAGGAACTTGGAATTGGATTGGATGGGCTTCCTCTGTCTACCTGACCAAAGAAGATGTCTTGCCAGGCGTATCAGTGGATTGGTTTTATTTCACACTGTTTAATTTATACCAGGAGTCCGTAAGAATAATCTTCCCAATCAGAATGACATGCAATCCTGGGGAGGGAAGAAGAGGAGAACTGGCAGCCATCTCTTGCAGTTGGCTCACTAACTGGCTTTACTAAACTTAGTCTGTAAGAAGGCAAAAGCCTCTCACCACCATGTTTGCTCCGAGCCTCCTTTTGTGGCACACTGTGATTGGGAAGGCACTGGCTGGTTGGTGGTTTTACAGGGGAAAGATATCTGGAAGATTGTGACTAGTGGTGTGGCTGTCACTTCTGTAGGGCTGCCCCATATCCATAGACAACGTGATGCGAGTACCTCAGGCAGCAGATGCTGGGGGGAGGGTAATGTAGTATCTGTTCCTCCTGACCCATAACCATTCTCCTTTATTGGAGGATAAAGCGGTGTGTGAACCATGCGGCTTGTCCTCTGCTACCTAAGCTAGCCTGCTGCCCTCAGGCGCAAAGGTGGATGCTGTCCTGTCACCAGTGCTGAAATGAGATTCAGTGGCCAGCCCGCTCATCTTCTATATATATGCAGGGAGGCGGGACTGATTCAGATGGTCCGCCCCCGCCACTTAATGGATCCAAATGGTTTCCAGAGAGTGGTAGGGGATGTTTTATCCCATGTTGATGGCCTTTCAGCTGATTCCCTGGTGGCCCGCTGGAATGTGGAGTTAACCAGGGCTATTGACTGTTTGGCTCCAAAGCGCCCTCTCCGATTGCATGGAGTCCGGACAGCCCCGTGGTTTTCCACGGATCTGAGGGCAATGAAACAATCGTTGAGACGGCTAGAGCGCCGGTGGCGGATAACCCATTCTGAATCTGACCGGACACGGGTTAGAGCTCAATGTCGAGCCTACCAAGTGGCGATAGCGACGGCGAAGAAGACTTTCTTCACCGCCTCTATTGCATCTGCGGAAAACAGCAGCAGGAGACTCTTTCAGGTGGTTCGCAATTTAGCGGAACCACCTGCTCCATCAGGGCCCAGTAGCGGCCACATGATCTCCTGCAATGACTTTGCAAAGTTTTTTGCAGATAAAGTCGCTCAGATTCGAGAAGAGGTAGACTCCACCGTGGGAGCAGGGCCGGGGCGGGAGAGTGCTAGAGTCCTGTCTAGTCAAGTTGTGTGGGATCAATTCCAATCTGTTACCCCGAGGATGTGGACAGGCTGCTTGGACGAGTGAAACCAACCACTTGCCTCCTTGATCCTTGCCCATCCTGGCTTATAAAAGCTAGCCGGGAAGGACTGGGCGATGGGCTTCGTGGGGTGGTGAATGCTTCCCTCCGTGAGGGAGCCTTCCCAGACCCGCTGAAAGAGGCGGTTATTAAACCGCTTCTTAAAAGACCATCTTTAGATGCGGCCACAATAGCCAACTATCGCCCAGTCTCAAATCTTCCATTCTTGGGCAAGGTGATTGAGCGAGTGGTTGCTGAACAACTCCAGGCACGCCTGGAAGAAGCGGACCATTTGGATCCCTTCCAGTCGGGATTCAGGCCTCATCATGGGACTGAAACTGCCTTGGTCGCACTGGTTGATGATCTCCGGCGGGCTAGGGACAAAGGTGAGTGCTGTTTCCTAGTTCTGCTGGATCTCTCAGCGGCGTTTGATACCATCGACCATAACATCCTTCTGGACCGTCTTGAGGGGCTGGGAGCTGGGGGCACTGTTATACAGTGGTTCCGCTCCTTCCTCCTGGGCCGTGTTCAGAAAGTGGTGGTGGGGATGAGTGTTCAGACCCCTGGGCCCTCACTTGTGGGGTGCCTCAGGGTTCTGTCCTCTCCCCCATGCTTTTCAACATCTACATGAAGCCGCTGGGAGAGATCATCAGGGGATTTGGGCTGGGTGTTCATCAGTATGCAGATGATACCCAGCTCTATCTCTCCTTCAAATCAGAACCAGTGAAGGCAGTGAAGGTCCTGTGTGAGTGCCTGGAGGCGGTTGGAGGTTGGATGGCGGCTAACAGATTGAGGTTGAATCCTGACAAGACAGAAGTACTGTTTTTGGGGGACAGGAGGCGGGCAGGTGTGGAGGATTCCCTAGTCCTGAATGGGGTAACTGTGCCCCTGAAGGACCAGGTGCGCAGCCTGGGAGTCATTTTGGACTCACAGCTGTCCATGGAGGCACAGGTCAAATCTGTGTCCAGGGCAGCTGTTTACCAGCTCCATCTGGTACGCAGGCTGAGACCCTATCTGCCTGCGGACTGCCTCCACCAGAGTGGTGCATGCTCTGGTTATCTCCCGCTTGGATTACTGCAATGCGCTCTACGTGGGGCTACCTTTGAAGGTGACCCGGAAACTACAACTAATCCAGAACGCGGCAGCTAGACTGGTGACTGGGAGCGGCCGCAGAGACCACATAACACCGGTCTTGAAAGACCTACATTGGCTCCCAGTACGTTTCCGAGCACAATTCAAAGTGTTGGTGCTGACCTTTAAAGCCCTAAACGGCCTTGGTCCAGTATATCTGAAGGAGCGTCTCCACCCCCATCGTTCTACCCGGACACTGAGGTCCAGCACTGAGGGCCTTCTGGCGGTTCCCTCACTGCGAGAAGCCAAGTTACAGGGAACCAGGCAGAGGGCCTTCTCGGTAGTGGCGCCTTCCCTGTGGAACACCCTCCCACCAGATGTCAAAGAGAACAACAACTACCAGGCTTTTAGAAGACATCTGAAGGCAGCCCTGTTTCGGGAAGCTTTTAATGTTTGATGTATTATAGTATTTTAATATTTTTTTGGAAGCCGCCCAGAGTGGCCGGGGAAGCCCAGCCAGATGGGCGGGGTATAAATAATAAATTATTATTATTATTATTATTATTATTATTATTATTATTATTATATTATAAAGGTGTAAAAGGGGTGCTATTTTGTTTTGGCCTGACCCTATCAATGCTTGATGTAGGGACCCCATGTGGAAGGTTGAATGACATGAGGGAGGTACACACATCCCTCCCATACATTCATGAGCGTTGGCATGCATGTACTGTATCTTATTTTTATTTGTTTCATTAAAATATCGACATCTCACTTTACAGCGTCCTCACCATGGTGTTACCCTGGCACTGAACATGTAGGTGGAATTACTTCTCAAGGGTGCATGTTGGCATGCAAGGCTGGCATGTACAATCCTACTCCCACCATGTATTTATGAATGCAATATGTGAGATGGGCATGTGCTACTCATGGCAGTGCCATCAGCTCCCAGAGAGCTACTGGAATTGAAGCAAAGCTCTGGTATTGTTCCATTCTTCATGGATTACTAATTTCTTTCCAGGTGTAATTCAGAAGAAAATGGTCTTGAGCTTTTCAAGCCCCAAATGGTCTAGGACTGAGATATCTCATGGACTATCTTGAGCTATCCTCCTGCAGAAACCCCCGCAAGTAACTCAGATCAACTGTTCCACTGCCATTTGATGCACACCAGGTGAGCACAAGAGGCAGCTTTTTCAGCCACGGAATCTGGGCTATGGAATGTCTTCTCCAAGAAGGCCCACTTGGTTCCATTACTGCAGGCCCTTGAATTTTAAAGGTGCTGCTTATATATAGGTACAGCTTATATTCGGGCCAACACGGTATTATTATGGAATAGGATGTCCCTATTTTCATAGGAGAAATGTTGGAAGATATGAGATCTGCCCTCTGAAATGGACTGCTTCACCCTTCTTAAAGGTTGTGGTGGCTCTACCAATGGCCTTAGCTGTTAGTCATTTGAACACAGGTCATGGGGATATATTTTTTGTGCACACTCAACACTTGTAGCATTTGCAGACTCACACAAGAAGCAACTCTCAGCATAAAGCATATAAGGAAACACTTCACAACAGGAAGTGCGTGAGTGGGCCAAGAATTTCTTCAACCTCCTCTCAGGGAGCTTTTAGAGTCTCTGGAAGCAGGGCTCCCTCTTCTTTTCTTGATTACAAAACAGCAGTGAGGAAAGACGGTCATGAAAGGAAACGTATTTCACAAGAAGTGAGTTCCTGCAAGTGAAACATACAACAGGAAAGCAAAAGCAAAGAAAACTGGGTTTATTTCCTGACTTCATCATGTCTGCAGCTACTCACCCAAACTGCTCTCATCAGTAAATACATGGTGAAAAGACAGCAAGCTGCAAAAAATGTTTGCCCCCATTTCCCCCTCTCTCTTGTGTACTCCTTGACCTCTGTATTAGCTAAAATAGCCAGCATACATTCCTGTGTATTAATCCAAAATAATACGATTCTCTTGTTTTTAGAAGCATACCTGGATCTCCAGTGTAAAATGACCGTGAGGCTGAACTTTAGGAAACAAAAAAAGAAATGGTCTTCCCTACACAGCTTCCTAGCTCAGTGAACCTATGAAATATGTACATCAGGACAGAGGAAATAGTATGCTTCTACTTCTTTGGATGATCTGAGACCAGGGTTTAATTAATATTATAAATGAGTCACTTAAGAGATTTCACGTGGCCTGTTAGCAACAGGTTTTTTAAAAATATAACAGATTTTCTCTGGAAAGCGACAATCCGAATTAAAGGCACAGGGTGGGGAAATATAAGCTGTGAACGCATAAGAATGCAGTATCATGTGAACAATGGAGAAAAACAACAACTTGCAAGCATGAGGTGTGCCGATCCCATTATGAACACCCATCTAGAAGCACCCTGCTCTTAAAATGGTTTCTGGTGATAATTAGCAATAAAATTTCTGAGCGTCTATTTATTTTTTAAAAATAAAATAAAATGCTGGAACTATTTATGGAAAGGAAAATCCTACGCAATATAGGAAAGGGCACCTCTTGTGTGTAGAAGAGTTTTTATTTTATTTTATTGTTTTATTTTATTTGGCAAATGTAGCTCTTCATGGCATAGCACTGGGTGTATGAGAAAAGTTGCACCCACTACCAAAAGAACACGATTCTGGTCCTCTGTCAGCTCAGCTTAGATGCAGCCTCATGTTGCTGAACCTTATTAACTTCTGTAGGTGAGGATACACGTAACTGATTCATGTATGATAATAATCAAGTGTTCCTTTGGTGACAGTCCCTATAACTTCACAAACACTAAGCAAGCCTTCAGCTTCGTGCCACATTTTCCATAGCCCCTGGCTCATATATATCAATACGTAGTCTGAAGCATCATCCACGTTTCAGGTTTACCTTCTCCTGAGCGAGTCACAATAATCCTACTGAGAGATTGTGGTGTTAATTAGGATTAGAGAACTGACCAGTTGGCTATCATGGTTGAGTAACACAAACTATTCCACCTGGTCCCAACAGCACGGCATAATGGCAGAAAGTACCCATGTAAATCTAGAGAAAGGTAGGTAGTGTGGACTTGTATATGATCCCTGTAATATAATGCTTTGCCCCATCTAACTTCAGGCATTTGCTGCTGAATTTGTCGGTTCCACAGCAACAGATGTTGCCTCTCCTCTCTTGTGGAGCTGCATGTTTTTGTGCCACCTCCTGTCCATCTTCTGCAACTGCATCAGGCATCCAATTTCTCCCTATGTCATTTGCATGTTGGGGTAAACCAGATGTGATGCCATGAAGTGTGAAAATACCCAGTGTTTATTAGTAAAATGGTCCACTGCACTAATCCACTATCCCTAATGGTTATGAGCTTTTGTGATATTTACTTTTTACATGCTTTTAGGTATCCATTTTTTAAAAAACAAAACACCACATTTGTGTAATAGACAGAGGTTAAAGTACATATATTACCATACTGCTTGCTTACAATGAAGGATGTTACATATACGTTTCCTTTTTAAATCTAGAACTAAGACTCCACCAGCTTTCAGTTCTTTTCAGAAGAAGGATGCCTCAAGATATGCCACTCATCCCAACATCGAAAGTCTTGTTCCCTCCTGTAAGGCGTGTGTCAGATGACACATGTGAGATGCTTCGAAGCTATGCACTCCAGGTCACTTTGTCTACCATCTACTCAGTTATTGCCTGCATCAGCATCCCACTCAACCTCATCTGCTTGTGGTTCCTGTGTCGGTATTCAAGGCCTTGGACTCCCACCATTGTGTTGTGCATCAATCTGGCCCTTGCTGATTTTGTCTACAGCATGATCCTCCCCTTTCAAATAGTTTACCATATACGGGGAAACAACTGGCCCTTTGAGGATGCTCTGTGCCGTATTGTCACCGTTCTGTCCTATGGTAATGTGCACTGTTCCCTTTTGACCATGATGTGCATCAGCATTGAGCGCTACCTGGGAATCGTCCACCCTTTGCGCTACAAAGCCATGAGATCCATGCGAACTTCTGTCCTGACATGCGCCCTCATTTGGGTGTTTGTCTTACTGCCCCTCGTCCCGCTCATGAAGACCAACCTAACGATTCGTGTACAAAACCTGGATATAATCACCTGCTTTGATGTTTTGCCTAAAGAGATGTTTGACGAAAAGCCAGAACGCTTCATCGCTTACTTTGCCTCTCTGGTATTTTTCTTCTTTTTCCTACCTCTGCTCATCATGGGGTTTTGCTACTTCTCAATCATCATAACACTTCTCCACTCCCCTTCTACCCAACTCAGAGAAACTAAGAAGCAGACTGTCTGTTTGATAATAGTGTTGCTACTGGTGATCACGGTTTGTTACTTGCCTCACATTATCATGTCAGTTATCCATTACGTCTTCACTATGCAGGGAAAAAAAGCATTTTATTTTGAATATAAAATTTCATTTGCAGTAGCCACCATCAATTGCTGCCTTGACCCATTGGTTTATTACTTTGGCTCCAAAGAGTTTCGGCGAAAGATACAGAAGAAGCTCTGCAGATGCGTAACTGTTGGGGTCAGTGAAAATACTCCAATCTTTTCAGAGCATGATATCCAAATAACACCAATGCAAAAAGTATTGAATAGATAGTCTGTATTGCTCTGGAATGTAATAAACGTTGCCAGTGCACTGTATTGACCTCAAGAAAAATCAGGAGCTAATTCATTGCAGAACCTCAACTGCCAAGTTACACAGAACTATTTTGCCAAACGTTTCTGGAAGATCAAATGGACTACAATTATCACACATGATTCTATTTCTTTTGAGTAAAGGCAACTGATGTCAAAGTCCAGTTAGATTGGTGCAGCTGAAAGACACCTGTCTTATTAAGAGACACCTGCAAATGTAGCATGAGGAGGAAAGCATGTATTTAACCACTTTTGACTGTGCAGAATTTATGGAACAAATATTAATAGAAATATTTGGTTGAATGGAAACAAACATTTGTTAAGACTTCCTTCCTTAAATGTCACAAATTACCTGTGCCACTAAGTCACAAAAGAATGCAACTACCTGTAGTACAGATTCTCAGTAATTAGAATGATCTTGTAATTTGTTCTTTGTTATTGATGTTGATCTGACAAAGCTTTGTATGGACAAATCTTGCTATGCTGTGTAAGCACCTGAGGTGGTGCTTGCCATCTCAGGTAACAATATTGCAAGTGCCATTCTTAAATACTACATTCATATAGTTTTAATAAAAGAATGTTTATTGTGTCTGCATTCCAATCTTAAGTTAATGTTCTTCTTTGCTGTCTTTGGAATATTCAAATCTGGGATAACCATGAGAGATCAGGGTCAATTTACACAACCGGCAGAATCAAGTGACAAAACTGTTCCTGAACCATATTATTGCTATGGAATGAGATAGGGTGGAATCTGAATATTGTAGAGAAAGGCAACAATTTCTTGGAGGAGTTCTGTGCTGAACTCACTTAAATGCTAATTGTTTGCTAAAAGGTTTGAGCCCAGCACACAGGCTTCAATTTGTGAACAGTTACTAATTGTGTTTGGATAACTTCAGGCTTTTTCTCACCTGTCTCTTATTTTGTTACCCATGCTCCATTTGCTTGGCAGTCCTGTCATGTAGATGGTCTTCATCAGTATGGGCCAGGGGCTGATGAATAGCAGTCTGGCCTTCAGCATTGCCTAGATACAAGACTTCCTGGGAATCACATGTAAGCTGTACTGAGTTCCCTGGAGGGAAAAACAGGTTATAGATATTATAAATAACAACCAGACATACCTCTAAATGTATATGAGGCATGAAAGCCATTTCAGTAGTGGACAGTCATGTATGTTATATCAACCAAGCCTTGTGTTTCATTGTGATTCTTTTTATGTATTTATAGCATTTTTACCCCACTCTTCAACCACAAAGGCTCTGAGAGTGTGGTCCTCAGGCTTATAATCCAGAAGACATGACTAGAACCTGGGGCAGAAATTCAATTCAGTTTGCATTTAAAGGTGAACGTACCTAATTCACACTTTATGAAACCTACATGAACTGAGACAATACATGAAACACAACCATCTATCAAAATTTGCAATACAGTTCTCCAACCAAGTAATGTACATATACTAGGGTAACATGTTTCATAAAAATGCATATATTGATGAAAATAACATACAAAAATGCATTATATTACAAGGAAATGCTGTGCAAAAATGTGCATATTTGGGGGAATTACATTTGAAAATGTGCACATTAGGAGGAATTTGCACTAAAAAGTTGATGAATTTTCATGAGGTTGAAAGATAGGCGTGGGGGCATCTGTCCCAATTTCTTCTCCTAAGATAGGATACTCTGCATCAGCAGTGGGGAGCTGGACCCACTCAATGGGGCTGGTCACTTGTCAATCACATGACAGCATCAGGTGACAAATTCAAAGAGGCTTACAGTCAAACTATACCTGCAAATGGAGAGGGGAAATGTGTGCTTGCAGGTACAGTTTGAATGCAAATTAGCTTCAAAGGTGTGCATTTTCAGGCAAGGCCTTTGCAAGTGCTGAGGCTTGCAAAGCCCTTGCCTGACAGCATGCCTTGAAAGGAGGTCAAAGTGGGTCATGGGCCAAAGAAAAGAACTGCTTGGCCTAAATAGGCCTGTGGGCTGATGGTTCTCCACGTGCTGCTCTGTATGTAGATGCCCTTCCCTGGAAATCTCCAGTGTTGAAGACTGCAAAATGTTCCCCTAATAAGCTTGTTCTCATTTCTCAACTGTTCTTCCAGTTACTGCATTTCCCCTAATTTTAAAACTACTTCAACCTTATAGTAGTTTAATGCTGCAATCTTTTCCGTGAGTTATGCTGGCTAGATGAGAAAAGGAGAGTTGCTCAACTCCTTACCCTGATGCAACACCAAATTAGGCTGATTTACTGAAATGATGAGCAAAGATGGGCAAACATACTTGTCTACTCATCCCAAAACCAAGTACACATCCCCCCTCCAAAAAAAGGTAGAGAAGAGAGAAGACCATCAAGCAGCTGAATTCCCCTTTCTCTTCCCTGTCAGTTCCACAATTTCCTCAAGGTGTGTGTATAGTGGGGCATCCTTACTGTAGGGAAAAGATAGGCCTTATCTACTTGGTGGCAAATAACACTCATCAGGGCATAAGAGTCCGATGGAATTAGACCAGTTACTTATCTAGTCTAGCAGCTGATTCTCACAGCTGCTAGCTAGACACCTATGGAAAGCCATGAAGAAGACCCTGAGCACAAGGGCTCTCTCCCCCTTTGCAATTTCTTGCAACTCGTGATTGACTTTTCACACACAATTTCCTGTTGAAAATCATGGAGCTTATAGTCAAGCCATGGTCCCTATCCTAGCTTCCACTGTATGGTACCCTTCACTGAAGGGGGTAACCAGCAGAAAGGAAGAACAGTAGGAGACAAGGGTGCAAGTCCCATTTCAAATTTACTCCATTGTGGCAGCAGTAGCTAGAAATTGTGCTGCTCAATCTGAATAGGTGGCCCATGGCTGGCTGTATATTTGGGATGCTTGCCCCTAATTATGACTATGTGATTATGCTCTTAGTCTGTCAATAACTTCTATCAGGGGAAAGTGGGCTGCTGCTGTTAATGGCTACAGAATAAAGGGAGGGAAATTTTGACATTGGGACATGGTGGGGGAATACTAGAGGCTCAGGTGGGCTTATTTGTAGCCTCCCCTCAATTATAAAATAACAACAATAAATGAGCTGTCATAAGTAAATGAAGTCAGTGAAGAAACTGATTACCCAATAATTTCTACCCCTCTGTTTTAGTGTCATCAGAAGATAAGATCCTCACTAACCCATGAACTAATAAAGAACGGCATTCCCTTTTATAAGGCATTCACTCAACACAGACAGCCAATTATTGTCACCAAGTATTTTCCCTGTGGTCTATTCCACGTGTTATAAGACAACAAAAAAAGTCCAACTTTTTTTCAGAAGAATGGAAGAGTAACACAATCTTCCTCATTGCATTTTGTTTGATTACAACTCCCATCACCCAAGATCACCACCTGAGATGGGTGGCGATGATTGGAGCAGTAATCCAAGAACATCTGGAAACCTAAGGTTGAAAAGCACTGTGCTCAAGTGAGAGAGAAGGTGCCTGAAGGTCAATATTTGGCCCCTTAATATTGTTACTGCTTAACATATGATGAAACCAGTATTGTGGCTGCCATGAGGTGGAGAAGTGGTCACAGATAACCTGTTGTGCTGGACTAAAAACAAAAAACAACAGTATATGAATTGTGGGAAGGTAGGACTAGATGTGATAAAAGAGGGTGAACAAAATGTATGAATAAGTCAGGCAGTAACCTGACTGCAGCCATTGGTCCACATATAAGTCTGATTGATTAGCTATCAGAATCAGTGGTATAGTGGTAAATTTTGAAGAGGACAAAGTTCATCATAGCCACACCCTCAATGAGAGTCCAAAATTGCAGGAAGAGGTATATTTCTATATACACACCAAAGATAAACGGCACACAGCAGAATACCCAATTTATTAGGATCACCTTGGACTGCAATTCTATATGCAAAGTTTCCTGTGAGTATGCTGTAGTAAACTCAGTGATGCTCATTTCTGTTTCATATGTTATTCGCTTTATCTTACCCAAAATGACTTACAACCAACCAGACAATCACCATCTGCTCACACAGATATATTAAAACCAAGGAAAAAAGAAATACATTAAAAACATTCCTCCCACTTTTAAAAGGACACAGATAGTTAAGGGCCAAATGCCTGGTTGTAGGGGAATGTAGACTAAATATATATAATGATGGTGTCAGGCAAATCTTCCTGGGAAGAGCATTCCACAAATGGGGAGCCACTGCAGAAAAGGACTGTTCCAATGTTACCACCCTCCAGACCTCCCTGATAGCCCTCAATAGCCTTAACTTTGATGAATTTGGCTTATTTGGCTAATCCCCTTATATTCTTGACTGTCATGGACGGGCCGGGTGCAGAAGAGTGGTGAAAGGCACCAGCTGGGGAACACCCATGAGAAAAAGGCTCAGAGCCAGGGGATTGGTGGTGAGACAATGATGAGTGGTCAGAGGGAGAAAAGAGAGCAGACTGGAAACTCAGCTAGACTGGTAAAGAAAAAGCACTTTATATGTGTTGTGTATGCAATATAAAACTGTGACACTAGATGGCGCTGTGGAGTCCCGTCATTCCCTACCGGATTTCCCTGTATGAGTTTACAACGTGTTTAACTGAATCGCTTCTTTGACGTGTCAAAGAAGAGCCAGCTTGGGAGGAGGAGGTGTCGGAAGCTGAAGAGGTAAGCAGGGTTCAGTGAGCAGGAAGAGGCTGTGGCAGAGAGCAGTCCAGAACCAGAGGCAGAATCGGAGGCTGGAGAGGAGTGGGGCTAAGAGGCAGCAATGAGTCAGGCTGGTGAGGAAGCCAGGCTGTCTCCCCCTCCTGTAGCAACAACCACCGCCCCTCCCCATGGGTCTCCTAGAGCCCAAAGAGGCATGAAGAGGGCGGAGCAAAGACAGGCAAGACGAAGGAGCCTCAGATTGCTTAGGAAGGAACCAGAGGAGGAAGAGACTTAAGGAGCGATGGGAAGGTGGGCACCTGCAGTCCTCACAACTCCATCATTGGGGTGAGAGGGTTGCTGTGATCACAAGGCCTGGGCTATTTGGGTTTCTTTGAATAATGAGTTTTTATTGCTGACCTACTCCCGATAGCAGCTAAGAGGGAACTGGAAAACCTTGGGGCTTGAGAGCCTATCTGGTTAACTTTTAAAAAATCTTATAGAATCTCTACAGAAGCAGAACTCTATTGACAAGTTTTTAAACTGTTTTGATGTCTATGTGAACACACCCCTCTCATGACCTACTTGATTTCTAACATGCAAGAGGAAGGAAGTGCAACACCCTGCAACCTAGTCTGTTTTTCACTATCACAGTTGTATTTGTAACCACAACATCACAGTTTACTAATGAAAAATATAGAGACGCTAGCCCTCAAGAGTGCTTATCTGTTAGCTTCTCTGTCATTAATGGTTAATCTGTGAACTTCCAAATATAGATTTCTACTAAGCAAGGAAATGTTTTCTGTAACCACCATAAGAAACCCATGAATCCTACTTTTACCACGGGACACTTGTCGTGTTTTCTCTGCATGTAGGTGTGCATGTTCATTCCTGTTTCAGCTGGCAGGGCCATTTCCATTTTGTGGGGTGCTTTCAACTAACTGGAGAAGTCCTCAGTAAATATGATAAGGGTATGAAGAAGA